GACCCCGGACGGACCTCGGACGGATCCCGGACGGACCCCGGACTGACCCCGGACGGACCCCGGACTGACCCCGGACTGGCCCCGGACTGACCCTGGACTGACCCCGGACGGACTGACAACGGACGGACTGACCCCTGCAGACTGACCCCGGACTGACCCCGGACTGACCCCGGACTGACCCCGGACTGGCCCCGGACTGGCCCCGGACCGACCCCGGACCGACCCCGGACTGACCCCGGACTGACCCCGGACCGACCCCGTACTGACCCCGGACTGGCCCCGGACTGGCCCCGGATTGACCCCGGATTGACTCCGGACTGAGCCCGGACTGACCCCGGACTGACCCCGGACTGACCCCGGACCGACCCGGGACTGACCCCGGACCGACCTACCCCTAACTAACCCCGGACCGACTTCGGACTGACCCTGGAGTGACCCTGGACTGACCCGGGCCTGACCCCAGACATACCGAACGTTGTGTTTAGTATTCGAGTCCCGGCTCGGTAAAACTAGACTCGGTAAAAATAGATCTCGGCTAAACTAGGTCGCAATCTGATATTCAATTTAAACGAGTGGAGAATAGTCGAAACATCGCCTCCAGACTGTTTTCCGACTATTTTTGGGCTTTCATCCTGTAGAGGGACATGTCCGACTTTAAAGCACAAGAGTCTGGGCCACCAAACGGGCAAGCCGCCTGAGAGATCCCCACAATCTGGGCGCGAGTGGGGGCCCGTGCGGCACCCCCTGGCGGCTCCCTCCTTGGGGTGGTTGAGCCAGCGTCTCGTCCGAGCTGGCCTGGCATAGTCTCAACGGGGGGGTAAAAAACCAGGGCCGCCCCTCCAAGATGGAACAACAAAAATCTGAAGCGGGGGGTCAGAAACCATGGGACCCCCGCCCCCCCGAACCTCCCCCACCAACCCTCCTCGCACCCTCGCAAAGAACCGGGGGGGGGGCGGGGGCGTCCGGCCCCCCCCCCCACGGGGAAAATTATTCGAGGGGTCCACATCCCTCCCCCCCGGGACAATTATAGCGGCGCCCCCCCAGGGGGCTCCTCTCCAGCTCCCGCGGGTCCCGCAGCACCAGCTCCAGCCTGCTGTCGAGGCTTCTGGTGGCGCCCGCGGCGGCGCCGGCGGAGGCTGTGGCCTCGGCTCCCTCCCCCGGGTCTCCTCCTGCCCTTCGTCCTCGTCCTCCTCGATGTCGTCGTCGTCGTCGTCGTCGTCGTCGTCGTCGTCGTCGTCGTCGTCGTCCTGCTCCTCCTCCTGCTGCTTCTCCTTGTCCTCCCCCTGCTCAATCTCCTCCTCGTCCACCTCCCCTTCAGTCAGTCAGTCAGTCAGTCAGTCAGTCAGTCAGTCAGTCAATCCGTCAGTCAGTCAGGGAGAAGGCTGGATGCTCGTAGCCTGTGCAGATGTGTGGCAGAGAGAAACAAAAAACGAGCGATGAAACGGCATGCGCAACTTTGAAGAGGAAGGACCCCTGGCCGAGGAGAGCGAACTACAGGGTGCTCCCGTGGAGACGGCGATCACAACCTTGGCGCAAGACCAGCCACGAATGCGCTTCCGAAGCCACCTTTCAGACATGTCATGATCAGGCCCGTGCCACATGCCGACCCCGAAAGCCGCGTGCCCGAGCTGCCGCATGCCGCGGCGCCGCGACTCCGAGAGAAGCGCCCTGGGCCGGGGAGACTCTCGGGCGCGGCCTGCCGGCCGTGCTCCTCCGCGGCCTGCGGAAGGCGCTCGACGAGGGCCTCGCCGACCCGGCCCGCCGCGCCCTCGGCGCGCTGCAGGGAGCGGCAGGTCGCGGAGGCTGAGCTGCTCGTGGACGCGGCCTCCGCGCTCGCACCTCGCCGCGCCCCGGTCGCTCGCCAGGCGCCCCCCCGCTTCTCGGCGCACAGGGGGGCCCGCGCCCTGAAGGGCAGGTCCTGGGGCACCCCGCCGCGACGCGAGCGGCAATGCCCGGGGCCGCCGAGGGCGCCCGGGCAAGCCTGGACGGCCGCGGCCACCAGTGCCCCGCTCCACTGGGACTGGCCGAAGTGAAACGCGAGCCTGTCGCTGGGGGGCCTCGCCCACAGATGCTCCAGCACCTCTAGGAGCCGCGGTAGCAACGGGTTGTGGGCCACCGAGCTCTCGTCCACGGCGCTGGTCCTGGAGGTCCCGGCCCCCTCTCCCGCGGGTGGAGGAGTATGGGCGGCGCCCCAGCCATGGCGCGAGTCGGGGCAGTGGTCAGCGTGCCCTTCAACCGAAGCCGCTCGCTCGGCCGAAGGTGGACGACGAACGCCACCACCGAGACGATCGCCTCCATCAGCTGACCCGCCGCGATCATGGTCTCCACCAGGAGGCGCAACGCGACCCGCGGGTGCGGCGGGCGACTCTGCGGCAGCGCCATGCGCTTCCACCCCGTCAAAGCCGTAGTGCTCCGAGGCGAATCGAGGGCCGCCCCGTCTGAGAAGGTCCAGACGTAGTGCGGGCCGGCCACGAGCTCGGCGGGGGCGTGCGCGAGCTCGCCCACGAAGAGCGTCTCCTGCATGAGGCTGGCCAGGGTCGCGCATCTGCGCGGCGGTCACGAGTGCCGCGCACTTCGCGCGCGCCGCGCGTTGAGGGCCAGGACGTGCGCGCGGTAGTCCTGGGCGGCCTTCGGGGTGACGCTCTGGAGCTCGAGCAAAGGCGGGCCAGGAGGCTCCAGCCGTCGTGCCAGGCTCAGGTCGTGCATGTCTCCCCGCAGGCAGATTCTGGACGAAACATGAAACATAAAAATCAAAAAAATCAAACATACCAGAAACATCGTCGCCAGACTATCTTTTTGACTATTTTTGAATTTTCCTCCTGTAGAGGGACACGCCCGACTTAATGCCAGGCCCCCGGCGGCAGCGACGTTGGCGACCTCGGGAGCGGCCAAGAGGGGGGTGTCCAAGAGGGGGGGGTGCAAATCATGGCCGGCGGCATGTGCGCGGCCCAGGGGGGGGGGGGCCAGGGACGTAATGAAACAAGAAGAGGCGCCATGAAATCTGGGGAGATATCATGGCCCCCGCCATGATACCCCCCCCCCCTAGTCATCACCCCTCTCTTTTCCGCCCCCGACGACCAGCAGGGCCCGCTGCCAGGCCGGCGGCCGGGTCGCGCCCGCGGGTGCCGTCTCGGAGGACCTCCTCGGGCCCTCCGGGCCGAACGCCGCCTCCGGGCCTCGGGGGAGCACTGCAGGAGGAGGCGCCCGCCCTACCCCTTGACGCGGAAGCGGCTGCTTCGATGAAGGGGCCCCAGGACACACAAATGAATACACACAAATAAAAATAGTTCCCATATTTTCTGGGTTTCTGTCTTCCCCCCACTTCCCATATTTTCCCATATTTTCTGTGGAATCGACGATTAATTGTGTCTGTGTGTTCTTTTCCCTTCTGATTCGAGCTCAGACGGCGCCCACCGCCAGGCCACGCAGCAGTGCGTGCTCAAGATGAGGGCCGCGATCTGCTGGCTGCACTGAAGAACGCTTGGGCTCGATGACCTCCCCTTTCTCATGGCAGCGCAACCGTTCCGGGCGAGGTGCCTGCGACCAAAACTCTGAGTGCTGCGGACAGGGTGCTTCGCCGCGAGGACGAGGGGCCGGACCTCGAGGACCACCTGGCGGGGCCGCTTCAGGGACAGCGCGAGGGGCCAGCCGGGGCCGTGGATGGACCCGGGGACCTCCGAGATCGGGGCCTTCGGGGTCTCACAATCCTGGGGGGGAGCTGCCGCGCCGCCGCTCACCTGGAATCCCACCAGCCCTTTGGGCGTGAGTGGTTTAGAAAGCCCGCTCTGTTCTCAACCCCCTTCTTCCCCTTCGGGGAGGGGTTTACCCCTCCCCCTACCCCCTCCCCCTGGGCCTGGAGAGGGCGCCCCGCGGGTGGTTGGAGGGGTCTTTTTTCGACTCCTGGGAGGGCTAAAATTCGACACCTCTCACGAGGATTCTGGCCCCGACGGGGGGAGGCAGAAAAATGCTCGCCTCATCTGCGATCGATCGCCCGACAGATGGCCCCAAGATTCCTCCCAGACCCCTCCCAGAGAGCCCCACGAGGCCCCAAGAGGCCTCCAAGAGGCCCCCAAGATGCCCCCAAGAGGCCCCCAAGAGGCCCCAAGAGGCTCCCCCGAGGCACCCACGACGCTCCTGGAAGCCCCTGGAGCCGCCCAGAGGCCCCCAAGACGCCCCAAACGGCATCCAAGAGGCTCCCAAGAGGCCCGAAGAGGCTCTCCCAAGGCACCCAAGACGCTCCTAGAAGCCCCTGGGGCCGCCAAGAGGCCCCGAAGACGCCCCAAAAGGCCTCCAAGAGGCTCCCAAAACGACTCACACCACGACGAGGGCCCCGAACGACTCACACCACGAGGAGCCCGAACGAGTCACACCAGGAGGAGGGGCCCGAACGACTCACACGACGACGAGGGGCCCGAACAACTCACACCACGAGAAGCCCGAACGACTCACACCAGGACGAAGAGCCCGAACGACTCACATCACGAAGAGCCCGAACGATTCACACCAGGAAGAAGGGCCCGAACGACTCACACCAGGACAAGAAACCCCAAACGACTCAAACCACGAGGAGCGCTTTCTCTCCCTCCTCCTCCGCCTCGTCCTTCTCCCGCTCCCACCACAAGGAGGATGTACAAGGAGGCGGGAGGAAGGAGGAACAGGGGAGATCTGCGGGGGCAGGCGGAAACACGCCTGAAAAACACGACTGTCGGCATGCTTCGCAAGAGTTGCTGTTTTGAGATGGGCTGGTGGGGATACGCGAAGCGTAAAGAATTTAGGAGCCGAGTCCCAGGGCTTGAGGGTGGCCGCATGGGCTGCAGAGTACCGCGTCCGCTCCGAGTAGCGCCCCACCTCCTCGACGGCCTTGGCTCCCGGGCTGCCCCGAACGCTCCCAGCGCCCCACCGCAACGCATCGGCAGGAGAGACAGTGGGGGGCCAGGCGGCGTCCATGTCGCGGAGAGCGAGTGCGATGAGGGCAGTGCGCCACCGAAGTTACCGCCGGACCGGACACCGCAAGAAGCGTGTTTCACGACCAGCCGCTGCAATGAAAGAGTGGGCGGACCAGATCCCCATGGACGCAATCCATATTGTTAGCAGCAGAAAGGCGCCCGAAACGAATCCTCCACCCGCCGCGGTGACTGATGCCCACTGTGGGGACCTGCTCGTCGAACTGCCAGCCCAAGGTCCCGCCCCCTGGCGCGGCGGTCGCTCTGCGCGCGCGAAACCCAGCGCTCCAGGAATTGCGAGCCACAGACTCGACAACCAGCCACGTAGGGGCAGGGGGCGTGCCAGGAGCAACAAGGTTGCCCGCGCACTCAATGCGCAGCGCGCGCGCGGTCTGGGGAGCGAGCTTCGCGCACGGGGGGCCGGGCATCATCGAGCGCTAAACGAGGAATAGCACGGGTTTTCGTGCGAGCTCTGCATTCCATGATGCGCTGGCGAATCCAAGCGCTGCGCTTCCAGCGCGCAGGGGCGGCAGCGAAACAGGGCGCGACCCAGTCGTTCGGCTTCGGGGGTTCCCGCTGCTGTCGGCGAAAGAGGCCCAAGACGTGAGCGCGGATGCGAGGAAGCCCCAAATAGCCCCAGAAATCTGATGGCAGCTGGATCCTGTAGGACGCGTTCTCTATGTCCGTCCCCCCCACGCATAAGCGAGCCCACCCACTGTCCGCGTCTAACGCTGTGGCCAAGTTTGCATGCGGAGGATCACCGAAGAACTCCCTGGCGGACCTCCCATCCAGAATCAGCCGAAACTCCCCGTTCTCCTTGGCGAAGAAGAGAACCCCGCCGCAAGATGTGCATGTTTGCTCCCAAGACGCCGGGCTTAACGTTTTGAGGCGATGAAGACGACGTGCGTAAAGCTGAGGATGAGACCGGAGGAAAGGATCATTGTGCACTTGCGGCGTAGGAAAGCTCGATTCTGCAACTGCTGAATCAAGACGGCGCAAAACATATCACTCATCAACAATGGCGTGGCGAATCGCACCGCCCAAATGAAAACACTTGCGCCGGTGACCAACCGGCTGGGGGCAAGGCGACGCGGCTTATATTGTCCTCGCTGATGCGTGCTACGGTGGTGCCCCGTGAGGGATGCCCGGATGGGTGCGGAGCTCTCGCAAGGCCACTGTGCTGGGCAGGTCGTCGGAGGGCTTCCCGAATCGATGAACAGCGCGGCCAATATTTTCCAAACACCTTCTCTGGGCCAAGGGCACCTCCTGGTGGGATCCCTTGGAACGTGAACAAACCGTTCAGGGCCGCAGCCACCTCGGCGACCATGACTTCTGATTGCTGCTGGACCTCAAACCTACGTCGGACTTAGTGCGAGACTAGGGCCCTAGGGACTGCAAGGGTGGCCGGCGCAGGGAGGGGGAAAATGTCGCGAGGGCAATCTCGGTCTGCCATGGAGCTGGGAGCGTGCACTGCAAAAGTGTCTCTGCGATGCAGGCCCCGAGAACCCACCCAAGTTAAGGGCCCTTTGGGTGTGTGTGTATATATATATATACAAGTGGCACGTGTGTGCCCAGGCTCATACAACAAGCTGAAGGGGCGTTTGAAGCAGGAGTGACATGCAACAGCGAAGTCGCACTCGAGCGCAAGTGAGGTTGCCACACCTTGCGATGTGTGTACCAGGGCCCCCCAGGAAGCCTCAGGAGGCCCGACTTGGATACCAGAAGAGGCTCCAGGAGGCCCCAGGATTGTGAGTGTTGTGTGTGTGTGTGATGTGTGCTTTGTGTGGTGCGTGCTTTTTGTGTGTTGTCGGTGTTGTGTGTGTGTGTGTGTGTGTGTGTATGTTATGTTTGTCTAGCGTGTGATGTGTTGGGCGTGATTTGTGTCTCTGTGTGTGCATGTAGTTCTGAAGCCCCAGGAGGCCCCAGGCGGCCTCAGCAGGCCCAGGAGAACTCCAGGAGGCTCCGAGGCGGGGTCTGGGGTACCAGGAGGCCCCCAGGAGGCTCCGAGGAGGGGTCTGGGGCTCGATTTTGGGAGGATGTCTCAGGCGAAACCGCCATTCTCTGAGAATCGGGGTCAAAATTATTGAAATTACCATGTGTTTTTGAAGGTTTTATGTTAAAATGTTGAAATTCCTATGTGTTTTTGGACCTCTCCTTCACGATCTGCGTGAGGGGTGCCACCGATTTTCAGAATTTCGAGGATGTCCCGAGCGAAACGGCCAGAAAAATCAAAGACGGACGCACGCACGGACGCATTAATCCCCTCTGAGCTCTACTCCATCGGAGAGGTGCGTATGAGAATATATATATATATATATATATATATATATATGGACAATGCGCCCAGTGGCTCTGTGCAGAAAAGGGAGGGAGGAAAAGGAGGTGTTGCCCGGCCTGCAAACTGCACTGTAATCTGAGATGGCAGCAGCAAGAGCCGGAAGTGACGCGGCTGCTCACGCTGGAAAAGGTGGCGCAAGATCGAGGCGCGCCTGCCACGGCGAGCCTTGCCCCAGCTCTGGAGAGAACCGCCGCTCGGTGGGGAACCGAGAGGCCACCACAGGAGCTACTGCGGACCCTAGCCTGCCTTGGCCCTCTTCTTACGGGCTTTGCGGACCTGCTTGAGGGTTTTGGTATCGCATTTGACCTGCTTGCCGACCCACTCGACGAGAGCCGGGCAGATCATGGCGTCGCCAAAATCACAGTGCCCACGAAAAGCCGTGAACTCGTCCAGCTAGCCATAAGCGCCAGCGGCGGCGCTGCCACGACCACGGCCGCGGCCCTTCTTCTTGGCGGCGGGGTCGGTGACCTCGGAGGCCGCCGAGAAGCTCGAGTCGTCCTTTCAGTAAGCGTGCTCCACAGGCTGCACCTCCCTCATGAAGGCCTCCACGCCGGCGATGTTAGGCAGGTCGAAGCCGTCATAAGAACCGAGGGATTCAAGTGCTTTGGTGCCGTACTAATGCATGGTGACACCCCAAGAGTCCTTCGTGAGACGATGAATCATGACGAAGTGCCGATGATGACCCAGGGGGGCACCACCACGACGGTCGACGAGACCAGCACCTCGACAACGGGCCTTTGATACCAGAGGTCCTGGCCCTGGTATCGCAACCACAACCAGGGTCTCAGGATAGGCTGGGGCGGCGCCGCCATCTCTAGGACGGCGGTGGCAGCAGCCCGCGAACCGATGCAGGCAGCTCAGCCCCCCGCGCCGATGCCGAAGCCGCCGCAGACGAGCCCGAAACGCAGCAGCAACCGCTGCCCCTTTGTCGGCGGAGGGCCCGCCGGGCAGGTCGCCAAAGACCCAGGGCAGCCCGGGCAAGCCAGGCAGGCGGGGCAGACGTTGGCTTTGGGGCAGTGCAGCTCAGGTCACACCACCGGTGCGCAGGACAGCTCGGCGCAGCGCGGGCACGAGCCGAGCCAAGCGATGGTGGCCTGGCCCGCCCAGTGCGCCGTTGCGATTGCCAGGTCGGCTGGCATGCACGGGGCGCGCGAAGAGAGCCCTCCCTTTAAAACTTGAGCCCGCGCAGCGAGCAGGGCAGCGTCATCTCAATCAATCACAATGCAATCCCATACTGAAGTATTCTGAAGGGGGAGGACGAGGAGGAGGAAGAGGACGAGGAGGAGGAAGAGGAGGACGAGGAGGAGGAGGAGGAGGACGAGGAGGAGGAGGAGGAGGAGGAGGAGGAGGAGGGATGGGAAGAGAGGAGAGGAGGAGGAGGAGGAGGAGGAGGATGAGGAAGGAGGAGGAGGAGGAGGAGGAGGAGATGGGAAGGAGGAGGGAACGGAGGAGAAAGAGGAGGAGGAGGACGAGGAGGAGGAGGAGTGAGTGAGCGAGTGAGTGAGTGAGTGATTGAATGAGTGATTGAGTGAGTGAGTGAGGAGGAGGAGGAGGCGGGGGAGGAGGAGGAGGAGGAGGAGGAGGGGGAGGAGGAGGAGGAGGAGGAGGAGGAGGAGGAGGAGGAGGAGTGTCGCAGGCCCAAAGAGGGAAGAACAACACCTTGGCGCTCAACTAAGCGCGGGCCAACGTGCCTGGGCCAACGGCCAACCTGCCCAACGGCCAACACCAAGGGCGCACGCGCAAAAAGGGGGAAACACGGACACGAGCTGGGGCCTGTCCTTGTACGACTCCTTGCTCACCTTCTCCAGCTCCTCGATGACCGCCGCTGCCATATCGACGTGAGGTGCTCCGAGCCCATGTCCGCGTCTTCGCGATTGTACCTCGTTGTTGTATTTGGCGCCTGCCTCGAGGCCGGCTTTCGCCACCTCGCTCGCTTCGGGAGGAGGAAGAACTGGCATAGCATATGTTCTTGCTCTCGGCCTCTCTGGTCCTGGCGGTGGCTCATCTTCTGCAACGTAATCACCGCCTCCACTAGTTCCACGTCTTCTCTGGTCTGTCCGCCTCTGCCTCTTTTCTTCGTCTTCTGGAACTTGGTGGCCGGGCCCGCGCGCATGATTGCTGCCCCGCTGGAAGCCCCAGATGCCCTTCCGTCTGATGCCGCCGCCGCCGCCCCTCCCCCTGCCGCCTCTCCTCCTTTCGGCAGCCGCCACGTGGCCATCAGCTCGAGTCCTGCGCACACCAGCAGGGCCAGGGTGGTGCGTACATGCATGCTGTTGATCTGATTCAATAGCTTGAGCCTTATAAGCGCAAACTGCGCATACCAACGATGATGGCTGTTGCACCTCGTGCGTCCATGAACTGAAATCCACGTAGCGAGCTCCGTTATTTTCACAAACTGCAAAGACGTGCTGTACCGCGATATCCCTGGTACTGAAGGTGCTGCGACACCATGGGCATTGATTTGTCACCGTAAGTAGACTGAGAAGGGCCCTTTGTCCGTGCACGCAAGTTTTGTGCGTCGTAAGCCCACTGTACGTCTTGTACCGTGCCCCGCATTCGTTCTCCTCCCGCTCCTCCCCCTGTACCATCACATCGCACACGTGCGGCTTGTCCTCCTCTATGTGTACATCCTCCTCCCATGGGTATACATATTGATCGAGGAGTAGGAGGAGGAGGAGGAGGAGGAGGAGGAGGAGGAGGAGGAGGAGGAGGAGGAGGAGGAGAGTGAGGAGGGATGTGGCTTTTCAGGACGTGCCCCCCCCCCCCGGAACTCTCGCAGTCCGCTCTCGCGCGGTGGCCGACGCGAGACAAACCCGCGCGAACGGACCGCCCCCATTCCTCCCAAAGACCCCCGTCCAGTCGGAACCTCCTGATAACACCTCGCACACCCGAAGGGCCTGCTGCTGCTCCTCCTCCCTCCTCCACTCCTCCCTCTCTCATCCACCACCTCCTCCTCCTCCCTCCACCTCCTCCTCCTCCTCCTCCTCCTCCTCCACCTCCTCCTCCCCCTCCTCCACCTCCTCCTCCTCCTCCTCCTCCTCCTCCCTCCTCCTCCTCCTGCCCCTCCTCCTCCTCCTCCTCCTCCTCCTCCTTCTCCTCCTCTCCTCCTCCTCCTCCTCGTCCTCTCCCCTCCCCCTCCTCCTCCACCTCTCTCTCCTCCTCCTCCTACCTTCCCCCCTCCTCCTCCTCCTCCCCTCCTCCTCCTCCTCCTCCTCCTCCTCCCTCCTCCTCCTCTCCTCCTCCTCCTCCTCCTCCTCCTCCTCCTCCTCCTCCTCCTCCTCCCCTCTCCTCCTCCTCCCCCTCCCCCTCCCCCTCCCCCTCCCTCGCCCCCTCCCCCCCCTCCCCCTCCCCCTCCTCCTCCTACCCTCCCTCCCCCTCCTCCCTCCTCTCCTCCTCCCTCCTCCTCCTCCTCCTCCTCCTCCTCTCCTCCTCCTCCTCCTCCTCCTCCCCCTCCTTCCCTCCTCCTCCTACCTCCTCCTCCTCCTCCTCCACTCCTCCTCCTCCTCCTCCTCCTCTCTCCACCTCTCCTCCTCCTCCTCCTCCTCCTCCCTCCCCCTCCCCCTCACCCCTCCCCTCACCCCTCCCCCCTCCCCCTCCCCCCCACCCTCCCCCACCCCCTCCCCCCTCCCCCTCCCCCTCCATCCCCCCCCCCCTCTCCCCTCCCCTCCCCCTCCCCCTCCCCTCCCCGCCCCTCCTCCTCCTCCTCCTTCCTCCTCCTCCTCCTCCTCCCTCCTCCTCCTCCTCCTCCTCCTCCCCTCCTCCTCCTCCTCCTCCTCCTCCTCCTCCTCCTCCTCCCCTCCCCCCCTCCCCCTCCTCCTCCTCCTCCTCCTCCTCCTCCCCTCCTCCTCCTCCTCTCCTCCTCCTCCTCCTCGTCCTCCTCTTCCTCCTCCTCCTCTTCCATCTCCTCCTCCTCCTCCTCCTCCTCCTCCTCGTCCTCCTCCTGCCCTCCCTGCTTTCACCACCGTGGGCTCCGAGACCAGCCCGCACCGCCTCCGCCCCCCGCGCGCGCCTGGCGCAGCAGCCTCCCGGCGTCCGCGGGCATGACCCACTTGTCCCCCGCGGCGGAGCGAACCTGCGCGCTCCCCCCCCCCACAAAAAAAAACCTGTGCTTGCACTCAGTAAGTCTGGGTATGAGTGTGAGTCAGTCTGTGTATGAGTAAGTCTGGGTATGAGGAGGAGAGGGGAGGAGAAGAGGAAGAAGGAGGAGTAGGAGGCGTCCAAGTAATAACAAGAACCCCATCTTAGGATATAGGGAACAACCTGTGCTTGCACTAAAGAGTTCTTGCTAGCCGTACTCCGGAATTGGGTCGGTAACCCGCCACGTGGCCGCCAGGTGGCCGCCCAGCGCAGACGCCCCGTGGCCGCCCCGTGGCCGCCCGGCGCAGCCGCCCGTGGCCTCCTCGTGGCCGCCGAGCGTAGCTTCCATCACTTTTTCCTTGTTGTTGATTGTTGTTTTTTGTTCGTCAGCAGAGCCTCCAGGGGTGTTTGCACGGGCCCGTTCGCGGCCAGTTCGTGGGGATGCCTCAGGCGGTTTGCTCGTTTTCATGCCCAACATCCTTTGCTTTCAGAGCAGTGAGAATGTCTCAGGCGGGGCGCTGGTTTCAGCACCCCTAAGGGGAGCCGCGAGGGGGTAGGACGCTCATGAACAGACGCTCGCTATGGCATTACATAAAACATGAGATGCACATATGGGGAGCTCCACGCAGTGAGTAATTTTGTCGTTGATTGTTTTTTTGGTCGTCAGCATGAATGTTCTTTCGTCTGTTCATAGCCTGCAAGCTGATGTATCAGCCTGCGCACGCGTGCACATTCAGATGCAGACGTACCTGTTGTCACACACGAGTGCGTCTCCACACTTCCCAGGCAGTGCTCGCACCCGGGGGGGGGGTCCCATTTCTGATGCGTGAGGGGCTGCAGGGGGCACGGCGGCGTTTCGCCACGTGGCGGGCCCGTGCCGCCTCCTGGGCGTCCCGCGTGCACCGCACAGCTTGCACCACATGACGTGGCTTGCACCACATAGCTTGCACCAGCTACGTACACCACACAACTTGCACAACGTGGACTGTACCACATAGCTTTTACCACGTAGCGCTGCGCAGATTGCCCCGCATAGCTTACACCACAGAGCTTGTACCACCTAGTTTGTACCACCAGCTTGTACCACGCAGGTTGCACCAAGTAGATTGCCCCACATAGTTTGCACCATATAGCTTGCACCGCATAGATTACACCAACTGGCTGCACCGCAAAACTTGCACATTCACACTGCAATAATTTACTGTTTGGGGTTTACGCTGGTAAATACTTGTTTTAAACGTCTTGTGGTTTACCTCCGATTCCTGAAGACCATCTTGTGTCGACCCCCCCACTCTTTCCGGTGGCAGCTGGGCTTTCTCGCTGGAGGTGCGCGTCGCGCTGCTCTTGCCAGGGAAGCCATCCAGCTTGATAAACTGTGCTCCCGCCCCCCCCCCCTGGCCATCGCTCGGACGTCCATTCCCTGTGTTTTTTCGGTTTCGTGCGTGGTTTTTTCGCCAAATGATCAAGGATGTTCCTCGATGGTCCTCGCCGAAGAAAAAATGCACACGTCCGAGCGATGCTAGAATCCCAACGGGCTCCCGCGCTGGGCTTCCTCGCGCGTGCGCCCCGCGTGCGATGATTGTTAAGTCCACGCGTGTGCCACCCATCACGGCCCTGAGCCCTCCGGCCGCCTGAGGCCCCGCCCGCCCGCGCCCTGTCTCCCTCATTAGGGCTACCCGCGTCCCGTTTAGCTCTTGACCGAAAGGGGCCCGCTCCCGACCCGCCGACCAAAAACGTGCCACGCACCACATGTTTGGCAGGGGATGACGGGTGTGTGTGTGGGACGGTCGATACCAGCACCCTGTGCATCCTGCTCTGCGACACTGTAAGATCAGCCTGGCGCGACCCCGACTGGGGGTCTTCTCCCCGGCGGCGCAGTTCAAAACGGTCCTGAACAAGGCAAAACGATGCAATGCAAAGCATTGCTTTGCATTGCTCTGCATTGTTGTTTGGTAGCGTTGCTTGGCATTTCTTGGCGTTGCTTGGCGTGGCCCGGCGTTGCTTGGCATCTTTTCGCGTTGCTGTGCGTTGCGTGGTATTGGCTTTACATTGCCTGGGATCGTCGCATGGCATTTCTTGGCATTCGCTTCGCATCGTTTGGGAACGTTGATTGATATTGTTTCGTATTGCTTTGCGCTGCTCGACGTTGCTTGGCAGCTTGGCATTGCGTGGCCTTGCCTGGCCTTGCTTGGCATTGCGCGGCTTTGCTTTGCATTGCTTGGCGTTGCTTGGCACTGCTTTTCGTTGCTTGGCACTGCTTTGTTTTGCTTGTCATTCCTTACCATTGTTTTGCATTGCCTGGGATTCTAGAGCCAGGCAACCTCGGACAATCCTGGGAACGCTGGTCACCGTGAAGTGGGGAACCCATGGGAAACCCCGGAAGCGGCCTCTGAAATTCACACCTTGCACCCACCGGTTTCTTGGAAGGGCCTGTTACGTCAGGCCTTGGAAGGGGGATCGAGTTTCATATTTTCCGAAAAGAGAAGCTACGAGGTGCAAACGATGTGGTACAAACGATGTGGTGCACGCTCTTTGAAACGGTATCTGTGGCGAAATCTACGGGGTGCAACCCACTCTGCTGAACTTGAAGTCGTCATCTCCACTGCTCGCGCAAACATCCCACCCACCCACCCGCAACTTGGTTTGCAAAACCTGTTAAGACCGACTACGACGACACCGACGACAACGACTAGGACGACACCGACGACGTCTCCGACGACTTCGACGACGACAACGACGCCGACGCCGACGACGACGACGACGACGACGCCAACGAACGCGACGACGATGGAGGAGGAAGGACGACGACGGCGACAACGACGACAACGACGACAACGACGAGGGAGGAGAGGACGGCGACGACGCGAACGACGACGAAGGAGGAAGGACGGCGACGAACGACAACGACGAGGGAGGAGGGAAGACGACGACGACAACGACGACGACGACGGCGACGAAATAGGAGGGACGACGACGAGACGCCGACGACGGACGACGACGACGACGTGGGAGGAGGAGGAAGGACGACCACGGCGACAACGACGACGGAAACGACCACGACGCCAAAGAGGACGACGACGACGAACACGAGAAAAGACAGAGGACGACGTAGGCGACGACGACGACGACGACGCGGGAGGAGGGAGGACGGCGACGACGACGACGACGACGACGCAATAGCGCGCGCGCACGCTTTTGTTGAAAATCCGTGTTGCGCAACCTTGGGTTTTTGTAGGTTTTTTGGACGTGCAATTTTGAAATCCTTCCGAAACCGATGGGTTTTGAAGGTTTTCGGCGTACGCCCGCGACGACGCGCGCGTCTGCACTTCGTCCCATTTTCTGCAGAAGATTCTCGCGACGGCACGCGCGCAAGGGCGTTCGACAGATTTCGACATGCGTGCGCACGCGAAGCCCGTTTGGTAGCATTTTGTGAAAATCTTGAAAAACCTATGGTTTTGTTAAGATTTCGCAAGAGCTCGCGCGGAAGCTTTTGTAGCACATCAATGTTGCGAAACCATGTGTTTTTGTATGAATTTTTGGAAACTCGATTGCGAAATCCTTCCGGCACCGAAGGTTTTTGAAGGATTTCGGCATGCGCGCGACGACGCGCGCGTGTGCACTTCGTCCCATTATCTGCAAGGGATTCGTGAAAAAGTGTTATGTTAGAACAACAAATGTCACCGCATAGTGTTTTTTTTAGAAGGGAACCTCAGGGGGGGGAACCAGGTTTGGCTGGGATGATATGATTTCATATTTAGGATGGACGAGTGTGCAGAAAACATATATACACACATATATATGTATATGAAATTATACTATCCCAAGGGGAAGCGATAAGTCCGGGGGGGGGTAGAGTCTATTCTCATTTTAAAAAGAGAATCTATGCGTCGCTATAAATGTTGTAATTGCTGAATTGCCAACTCCACTACTCGCGTAATCATCCCACCCTGCCACCCGCAACTTGTCCCGCAAAACCCATGCGGCCGCGATTGCAGTGACTGCTTGGCATTGGCTGTCGCATTTCTGCGGCCGCTTTGGCGCGCGCACCCTCGCGCGCAGAGCGACCAGCTGGTTTTGAACAACTGATGCGGCCGCGGTCACGCCCACTGGTGAGAACTTCCCAGCGCGTCTCAAAGGCCGCGAGCGGCTCGGGCAGGCGCGATATCGTAATGACGCCACAACGGCGGCAACGATGATGGTCATTTCCCCGTGGCCTAGACCTCATACATCCGCATGCGCTCTGGCCGGGCGCCTCCGCGGTCCTTGCCGCCCTGCGCCGTCCTTTCGTGCAGGCGAAACCCCTAGAGGAGGAGGGGAGGAAGAAGAGGCTACCTGACTACCTTGCTGCGTGGCATGGGCGTGTTCCATACACTGGAGAGGCCAATGTGTGTTGGTGCAGGGCACAAAAGAGCTGATTGAACGCCGGCCCCTGCAGCCTACTGCAGCAACGGCACATGCAGCTCGTCCTCGAGATGGAGCGGTCTTCTGGAAACGATGAACGATGATGATGGTGGCGAGCAGCCCAGGTGCTGCAATTGACAGAAGTGCCAATATGCTCCGCGCGGACTTCCCGGATCTGCGCTGAAGTCTATGTGCTGCAAGCTATTTGGTGCGATCTGCGTGGCGCAGTCTGCAGGGTGCAGCCTGTGCAGTGCCATCCGTCGGGTGCAGGCGCCAGCCAAGGCACTAAGCGGCCGCGCTGCGGCCACGGGCGCCGGCCTGCCGGCAGCACCCAGAGCATCCCGCCGACGCGGCGGGGGCGGCAGGGCGGGAGGTCCAGCCGATGACTCAAAAAACGCAAGCAAGAACCCCGCAGTCTATGCTGCTCACGTCGTACTTGAGGACCGCATCCCCAAAGTAATTTCGAGCACCCAGAACAGTATCGAAACGAGGTCGAACGAGTCTCGCCGCCCAGGGCCCGACACGTGAAAACCCTCAAGCTTCGGCACTTCCTTGGTGCTCGAAACTCTGTCTGGTGATCAAGGTTCAAGTCGGTTGGAACATCATAACCCTCAGTACGTAGCACCCTACACTTGCGGATGAGAATGAGGGGGGCGGGCGCCAGGTGTGTGGCGGGTGGGTCGCGTGTGAGTCGCGGGTTGGTCGCGGGGTTGGTCGCGGGGTGGGTCGCGGGTGGGTCGCGGGGGTGAGCGACGACAAGAACAACAAGAACAACATTAGCAAACATAGCAACAAGAACAACAACAACCACAACAACATCAACAACAACAAACAACGAACAAGTATAATCCAGGCCACCCCACTTCACTCGCGCGCCCAGGGATCGTGTAAGACCGCTCGCCCCCCACACTGACAAATACTGATTGGGGAAATATCGTCGATCCCAAGCCTCCGACGCAGTCTTTTTCCAGTACGGGTTCGTGAGACCCCCCCACCCCTCCCCTGGGGCAGCGCGCGCATCTCGACTTAATTTTTCGATGGCCCTAGGAGCAGGAATTGGCCTCCAGAAACCGACTTTGGTGAAAGAAGCGTTGGCATCGAAGAAAAGCACGACGTCGGAGGTCTCAGATCCTCGATCCCACTCCTGCCCCCGCTCCTCCTTCTCTTCGTTTTCCCAGGGCCGGTTGCAACCCCCTCGAGTACCCCAGGAATGCCAAGAACCCCCTGGAACACCCGAATCAAACTTCCAATCCTCTCCTCCTCCTCTTCCTCCACCTCCTCTTCCCCGTCGACTCGACTCGACTCGTGCTGGCATGGGGGTGTCCGCTATCTATTCCTGAGCCAAAAGACAGGTGAGACGGTACTACACATAGAGAAACATGAAAATCAACCAACGATTTTGAAACATGCAGTCCGCCCCCCTCTCGCGTTGGAGATCGGGGGCCGCAGCCAGAATAATTCTGCAATCTTCCTTCTCCTCCTCGTCTCCAGAAGCTCGAAGCAGGCGCAGGGCTGTTCTGCGACGGCGACGACGTCGAAACGTTGGCCGCGGCGGGCAGCAACGACGACGAGGGGCGTGCCTTGAGGGCGCCAGCGGGGACCGCGAAGCCGTCCACGGTGCTGGGGCCGTCGCCGTTGCCGTCGCCGGCGTCGTCAATGTCGGCGTCGTCGTCGTCGTCGTCGTCGATCGAGGAAGATCGGGAGTTGATGTTCGGGGTGGGTTGGCGTTCTGGTCTTGTCTGGGCCTCGAAGGGTGCCCCTCGCGGCCGCGTGTGGATTCGCGTTGACCTTCTACTGATCAGAACGGACCCCTGGAGAGAGCCAGGGGTCGTCGCCATCGTCGCCGTCGTCTAGTGCTCGTAGTAGTAGCAGTAGTAGTAGTAGTAGTAGTAGTAGTAGTAGTAGTAGTAGTAGTAGTAGTAGTAGTAGTAGTAGTAGTAGTAGTAGTAGTAGTAGTAGTAGTAGTAGTAGTAGTAGTAGTAGTAGTAGTAGTAGTAGTAGTAGTAGTAGTAGTAGTAGTAGTAGTAGTAGTAGTAGTAGTCGTAGTAGTAGTAGTAGTAGTAGTCGTAGTAGTAGTAGTAGTAGTAGTAGTAGTAGTAGTAGTAGTAGTAGTAGTAGTAGGGTTGCACCTCGCCTTCGTGTCGCGCCAAACGTCACCTTCGTGTACTCTTCTGTTGTGCAAGGCCGAACATAATTCCTATAAGAGGGAATTACGACAACCGTAGTTTCAAACCTGGCCTTCGTGTCTTTCGCGCCAATGTCTACCTTCGTGCGCAAGTTCGCTGTATAGGCTGTATATTGGATTCGCATCAGAAAATGAACATTACCCCGACGGAAGAACCCCACATAAGAATCCTCTGGGCGAATCTGGAAAAAACCATCACCGTCGTCCTCGTGGTTGGTGAGGCGTCCTGGCTGTCTCTTCTGCGTATATTTCCTGTCGCCTTGGCGCGGGCCCCCCTTCCACTCCTTACGTTGTCCCCATCCTCGCCCCCCTGTTTGTTCCGCGCCCCGCCACCTCCTCCCCTTCCTGTTGCATGAGCGCGCATGTCGATGTTCCTCGGCGCCGTCGCCGCCACGGCCAGCACAGGCGCGTTCTCTACTGGTCACGTCGCGCAGCCGTTGGGACAACCCCGCGGGCCAGGCTGTCGGGACAACCCCGCGAGCCGTTGGCGCGCAAGACCAAGCCGTTGGGACAACCCCGCGGGCTTCGAGCGAGGCGCAGCCGCGCTCAGGCGGAAGGCAGCACGAAACCCAGCTCTGCCGCGAGCTGCTTCGCCTCCGCCCTGGACAAAACCGCCTGAGACTTCCTCCATATTCAGGCTTGAGGAGCCCAAAAGTGACGACAGTTACAGGGTTCCGATGACCCGCTCGGATTACCAACATGATCTGCGGGCCCCATAGGGAGGGAGCTCCCGCCTGAGACTTCCTCACAATTCACTCAGAGACGAGGCTCCCGCCTGAGTCTTCCTCCACAGGAGCCCAAAAGTGACGACAATTACAGGGTTCCGATGACCCGCTCGGATTACCAACATGATCTGCGGGCCCCATAGGGAGGGGGCTCCCGCCTGAGACTTCCTCACAATTCACTCAGAGACGAGGCTCCCGCCTGAGACTTCCTCCAAATTCAGGCTTGACGAGCCCAAAAGTGACGACAGTTACAGGGTTCCGATGACCCGCTCGGATTACCAACATGATCTGCGGGCCCTATAGGGAGGGAGCTCCCGCCTGAGACTTCCTCCCAATTCACTCACAGACGAGGCTCCCGCCTGAGACTTCCTACATTTTCAGGCCTGGGGAGCTCAAAAGTGACGACAGTTACAAGATTCCGATGACCCGCTCGGATTACCAACATGATCTGCGGGCCCCATAGGGAGGGGGCTCCCGCCTGAGACTTCCTCACAATTCACTCAGAGACGAGGCTCCCGCCTGAGACTTCCTCCAAATTCAGGCTTGAGGAGCCCAAAAGCGACGACAGTTACAGGTTCCGATGACCCGCTCGGATTACCAACATGATCTGCGGGCCCCATAGGGAGGGAGCTCCCGCCTGAGACTTCCTCCCAATTCACTCACAGACGAGGCTCCCGCCTGAGACTTCCTCCATTTTCAGGCCTGGGGAGCCCAAAAGTGACGACAGTTACAGGGTTCCGATGACCCGCTCGGATTACCAACATGATCTGCGGGCCCCATAGGGAGGGGCTCCCGCCTGAGACTTCCTCACAATTCACTCACAGACGAGGCTCCCGCCTGAGACTTCCTCCAAATTCAGGCTTGACGAGCCCAAAAGTGACGACAGTTAGGTTTGCGATGACCCGCTCGGATTACCAACATGATCTGCGGGCCCCATAGGGAGGGGGCTCCCGCCTGATTCGACGAGGCTCCCGCCTGAGACTTCCTCCAAATTCAGGCTTGAGAGCCCAAAAGTGACGACAGTTACAGGGTTCCGATGACCCGCTCGGATTACCAACATGATCTGCGGGCCCCATAGGGAGGGGGCTCCCGCCTGAGACTTCCTCACAATTCACTCACAGACGAGGCTCCCGCCTGAGACTTCCTCCAAATTCAGGCTTGACGAGCCCAAAAGTGACGACAGTTACAGGGTTCCGATGACCCGCTCGGATTACCAACATGATCTGCGGGCCCCATAGGGAGGGGGCTCCCGCCTGAGACTTCCTCACAATTTACTCAACGATGATGAGGATGAGGATGATGAGTGGTGGTGAAGATGAGTGGTGAAGAGGATGATGATTGATTGTGAGTGGTGGTGGCGATGATGATGTTTGAATGAGGATGATGCCGATGCCGATGATGATGATGATGATGATGATCGTGAGCGTGTGAGAGAGTGCGAGTGATGATGATGATGATGATGATGATGAGTATGTGAGTGACTAAGCATGTGAGAGAGCATCATCGATGATGCTGATGAGGTTGATGATGAGAGAGTGTGCGTGAGTGTGAGTGTGTGTGTGTGTGTGTGTTCCTTCCTGTTCCTGCGCGGGGTGTCCAGAGAAAACAAGAACCCCACTTTGGATGTGGGGAAAAAAAGGCGGTTTCAAACCTGTCTTTCGCATTGCCGTCGGTTTTGGAACAGCCGCCACCACCAGCCACTGAAAAGCGATTTGTCTCCCCGGCGTCAGCTTCTTTGTCTTCGGAGCTCACGCTGGTTTGTCTCACCACCTTGCCGCGGAGTCTGAGTTGCATGAGAAGGCACTTGCATAGGGGCCCGCGGCGTGGATTTAACTCTGGATTTGCAATGCGATTATTACACCACGTGCTTTCAGTAGGACTCCCACGCAGCGCATTGCCAACAGGATCCCCGCGCAACGCGTTGTCAATTAGCTTCTTGCACCGTGGGTTCTCATGCGATGGGCTGTTAAACGGGTATCCCATACAAAGGGTTTCCAACCGGATTCCTATACGATGGGTTTTCAGTCGGGTTTCCCAAGAAGGAATCCTATACAACGGGTTGCCGAACGGATTCCCATGCAATGAATCCCAATCGTATTCGTATACAATGGGTTGCCAATAGGGTTCCCATGCAATGAGCTTCAACTTGGATTCCTGTACAACTGGCTTCCATTACGAATCCTACACAATGGGTCTCCAATAAGGTTCTTTTACGATGGTGCCCCACCAGGGTTCCGACGCAAGGGATCTCAAATAATGATGATTGCACAAGGGCTTCCCAGTACTATTCCCACGCAGAGGGTCTCCGATAGGATCCACAATGGGCTTCCAATCTGTCGGATCCCCATGCAATGGAAGTCCGATTGGATTCCAATGCGCATGGTTTCCAAACGGATTCTTGAACGATGGGGGATTCCAATCGGATTCTTGCACACCAATTTTCAAGTCCATACCTTACGCAATTGGTTTCCACATCTGTTCTTATACACGGAGCTTCCAATCGGAGTCCGACGCGTCGGGTTCCCAATGGGGTTCCTAGACGCTGGGCCTCCAATCGGTTCGCGTGAAACCAGTGTCAACTCGGACTCGGAGTCCTGCGCCATTTGTTCCCCGCGGGATTTCTTGACAAAGGGCTTCAGATTGGAATCCTATACGATGGATTTCCAATGGTTCCTGCACGACGGATCTCCTGTAGGATTGCTATGCGAGGAGTGCCGCATCGGGCCCTGTAAACTAGGCGTCCGACAGGGTTCTGACGCAATGGGCCCCCCATCGGATTTCCGCGCCAAGGAGTTCCACCGTGGTTCCTGCGCGGTGGAATTATTGAGGCCTTCGGTGGAGCTCCTTGGGGACCGCGCAACGTGTGAGGGGTGGGGCGAAAGCAATGCAGCGGCGGCGCGTGGGCGCAGCCACTGTGGCCTGCGGCGGAGCCCTATTGGGCGATGCGAAACTTGTGAGAGGGCGAGAAAGCCATAAACAATGATTGTCCTTTCGTTTTTTGACGGGGTGCTCAACATTGTGTTCTTATGCACGTAGTGGCCAAGACTGCGCGGCGCGCCCGCCGGTGAGCGCGCGGCAAGGAAGCCGCGCGGGCGCGCGCAGGTTAGTATCGCACCCCCACCGCGCAGTCTCAAATTCAACAGAGGGCACCTGCACAGGGGCCCGCGGTATGGATGGAGCACTGAATTTTCACGTGGATTCCCGCGCCGCAGGTGTTCGGCAGGACTCCCACGCGACGCGTAGCCAATAGGTTTTCCCGCGCAACGCGTTGTCAGTTGGGCCCCCGGGCGATGTTGGCGCTGAGTCTCGCAGTGCTGGTGAAGGGCATCTCCCCCCCCAGTCCTCAGAAAAACACATTGCCAGTCTCGATTTGCTGTCAGGCTGGCCAGGGCGATGACACCTCTGGCGGCGAAAGTGCTGCCGTTGTGGCCCCGCCTCGGGCCTGCAGAACGTGCAATGGGTTAAGATTCTCAGCCAACCTCTCTCTCTCTCTGGCCAGTGCTAACCCGTGTTGCAAACGGCCCCCCATCCAGAGCACCTGTCTTGGGTCGGGCCCAGCTTTCTGGCAGTGCACTGCATGTTGCAGGGTCAGCAGGCTGACCGCTCACGGTCCTCCTCCTCCTCCTCCTCCTCGTCCTCCTCCTCCTCTTCCTCCCCCCCCTCCTCCTTCTCCTCCTCCTCTTCCTCCTCCTCCTCCTCCTCCTCCTCCTCCTCCTCCTCCTCCTCCTCCTCCTCCTCCTCCCCCCGCTCCCTGTAAATCAATATCGGCTCTCACGGCGAGCGTTTTGGAGGGCAGGGGACACAAGTGTATCACTCTGGCTTGTTCGGACCAAGCCTCACTGGTCATTCGTATTAGGTGTTACTGCTACTCGTAACATAGACGAGTGTCTGGCCTAAGAATTGATTGCGAAGGACCTACCCTGTCGACCAAATAGTACAACTGGAACATTGTGTGCAAAGGCCGTCGTCCCAAGCGTCCAGGTGTCACGGTGAAGTCGGACCCTGGGTCAGTCAGGCTAATGTTATAACACTTTGATGCCTATGCCAAGCAATTCCGTCCTCCCTTCTCCTCCACCTCCTCCTCCTCCTCCTCTTCCTCCTCCTCCCACTCCTCCTCCCTCCTCCTCTTGCTCCACCTCCCGCCTCCGCCTCCTCCTCCTCCTCCTCCTCCTCCTCCTCCCCTCCTCCCCGCCCTTCCCTCCAGGCCACCAGCGGCTGTTCGAATTCTGTTTTTACCCTTTCACCCGCTTGCCTTGTCGAACAGCGGGTCGAAGGAACAGCTGCCAGCTGGTGACAGACGTGGCAACATGTTCGATTCGTTGTGGCGATGCCTCCGTCCCTCGCGCTACCAGCTGTGCAAGATCAATCAATACCGAATCGAGACATCAGATCGAATCGGAGTGCGCGTCGGATTGGGCTGCACGGGCACGGCATCGAAGTCGAATCCGCCGGGGTGCACAACACAGCCATGCAAGTAAGCATCGTGCCGCACTGGATCGTCTGAATTAGGGGAGCGAACATGACATAAACATGACAACTCGGAAGTCCGCGCGGAGCACGCCAGGGGCGGCGCCGGAGGCGCCGCTAGGGGGGTCCAGCGCGGCTCCGAGAAATCCGCGCGGACCTCCGAGTCTTTAGGTTTACGCCATTGCTCGCTCCCCTATGAATGTCGGAATCGAGCCAGATCGAGCCAGCCGGAACCGCCATCGAATCGGATCGAGCGGATCGGCATGGGCCCTGCCGTGCCGTACAGAACCCAAGTCGCAGAGCGGCCTGGCACACGGCACGGCCGCGCGCGCGAGCGGCCGCGCACCGAGAGGTGCTCGGCCGTGCCGAAGGAGGAGGAGGAGGAGGAGGAGGAGGAGGAGGAGGAAGAGGAGGAGGAGGAGGAGGAGGAGGAGAAGAGAGGAGGAGGAGGAGGAGGAGAGGAGGAGAGGAGGAGGAGGAGAGGAGGAGGAGGAGGAGAGGAGGAGGAGCAGGAGGAGGAGCAGGAGGAGGAGGAGAAGGAGGAGGAGGAGGAGGAAGAGGAGGAGGAGGGGCCAACACGCCACAGAGCGGGCTGCAGCGCAAAGCGAGGCGCTGCGGGGGTGAACCCTGCAGCTGGCAAGCAGCCGTCCTGAACACAGAACTATATACCTCCGCGAAGGCACACGTGGACTCCGCATCCGAAGCCCAACAGGGTCAACAACGTGTCCCGGCCGAGTGGGCCAGCTCGGGCAGATCCTACCAGCCCTCTGGGCGTAGGTGGTTGAACGGATTTTGTCTTCTCTCTCTGCCAAACTGGCCATCGCTCGGACGTCCATGCCCTGTGTTTTTTTCGGTTTCGTGCGTGGTTTTTTTCCCAAAATGATCAAGGATGCTCCTCGATGGTCCTCGCCGAAGGAAAAATGCACACGTCCGAGCGATGCCAAGCAAACCTCTCCTTCCCCTGCTCGGGGGAAGGCTTTGCCCCTCCCCCTGCCTCCTCTCCTGGGCCTGGGAAAAGGGGGGGGCGCGAGGCGCTCGAGCCCCCAAGATTGCCCAAGATGGCTCCAAAGAGGGCCTCAGAGATCCCAAGATGGCCTCCCCTGGCCATCGCTCGGACGTCCATTCCCTGTGTTTTTTTCGGTTTCGTGCGTGGTATTTTCGCCAAATGATCAAGGATGTTCCTCGATGGTCCTCGCCGAAAGAAACATGCACACGTCCGAGCGATGCCAAGTCCAAGATGGCTCAAGATGCCTCGAGAAGGTTCAAGGTAGCCTCCGACGCACAACCAAGAGGCCTCAAGACGGTCCCAAGACGGTTTCGAGTGCCCTCCGAGTCCTCCAAAGACCCCCCCAAGAGGCCAACATGGCTCCAGCACCGAAGTACAATCAATGTTGTTTGCCTTCTCGCCTTTTCGCTTCCGATGGGCTCTTGAGGCCTTACGATGGCCCCAAGACGGCTCAAGAGAGCCCGAAGAGGGCCCCAAGAGTGCCCAAGAGCGCCCCAAGAGCGCCCCAAGACGGCCCCAGGACGTCATGTTTGAGCCTCCGAGGGGGGGGGTCTGAATTGAGGACCCCCCTCTCTTTGAGCCATGGGACCCAAGAGGCCTCCCAGACCCGTTCGATGAGCCACAAGAGGGCCCCTGGACCCTTCAAACTGAACTTCAAAAGGGCCCTAAGAGTGCCCAAAAGGGCCTCACGGGAACCCCACGAGAGCCTCTAAGCTGACCATTACCGGCCTTCAAGAACCTGCCACAACAACATATCTCGAAAGCCCGACTTCTCATCATCCTTATCACCGTCCGTTCCTTCCTTCCTCTTTTCCTGCCTTCTTCCTCCTCCTCCTCCTCATCTTCTTCGTGCCGCATTCCTCCTGCTCCTCCTCCTCCTCTTCCCAGATTCCTTTTCTCTTTTTCCTCCTCCTCCTCCTCCTCCTACACCGAAGATAGTCCCAGAAGGTCGAGCATGGCTCACGGCATCCTCCGACAGACCTCCACGAGGCCTTAAGACAGCCTCGAGATGGTCCAAGACAGCTGAGACTAGCTTATGATAACCTCCGACAGCCTCCAGCCGAGCATGGCTCAAGATAGCCTCCAAGAGGCCTCAAGAAAGCCCCCGATTGTGTCTGGATGGGCTGGCGGGGATGCGCGAAGCGTCAAGAGTTATCGGAAATGCAATCCAAAGCAAGGGCGAGAAACCATCCGATGAGAAACCATACCCTGGAATTGCGAATCTCGTAGGTTTTCCCATAGGCCCGTGTACAGTTTGCCAATGCCATTCGATTTCGCAATGACCCCCACTCCCCCCACCCGAGAAACAGCAATCCTGGTGGTTCGACTGCTACTGATCAGCCCACATGGGGTGTGGCGTGGGGAACATTTCCTGCGTAGAAGTTGCGTGGGTGCGTGACCCTTTTCGATATCCATCGGCTGACCGAAGGCCCCCAGAAGGTATGAGGGACAATTGAAAGCCCCTCGAGATGCAAGTGAACAAGCTCTGAAGCACCCATCGCAAATTTGACGCTCCAGTCCCACTCATCGAATGCTAATGGAAATGCCCACCTTCGAACGCAGATCGGACAAACGCCAATCGGATTCTGTAAGCGCTAGTGGGAATCTCGCGAAATCCCAGTTTGCAGACTCTCGAATACAATTCGAATACTCTCTGGACACTTTCCAATACCTTCGAACACACACACCAAACACATGCTTCCAGAGCAAATCCGAAATCACCCGGAACTTGTCGAGCACCCGTCAACCTTCGGCCGCCAGCCAGGAGCTTTCGAAAAAACCAGAGAGGCTTCCTCTGGAATCAAGTGCAACTTCGGAGACACATTGTGCCCTGAATCCCTGGATCCCCAAATCCAGCCAACTTGTCGCCTGGCCACCTCCAGAATGGACTAAAACTGACGAGATCAGAACACACGCGATATGGCTTTTGCTTTCTATGGCTCAGCCTGAACCGACCTACGGCTCGGCAAGCAGAGGCTGTGCTCTGCCTGGGCCCCGGGATCCGGCCAACCCAACCTGTCGCCTCCTGAAGGGCCACCACCCCCTCTTGCTCCCGCGAGCCCCCGCCCGCCTCCCGCCCGCGGAGCCGCCCCGCGCCTTACACTCCCGCCGGCTCCCGCGGGCACCCCGCCGAGGAAGGGGCGCCAGCTTCGTTACTCGGCGGCGGGCGAGGGGGGGAAGCGAGCAGGAGAAGGCCTCCTCAGAAGGCGGCGGGACTTCTCAGAAGCCCTCGCGCCTTCCGACAGAGGCTTTTTGTTTTCTGTCTGCGGGGAAGGCTTAGAAAACTGCTCAGACGGCCAAAGGGACTTCCTAGACTTCCGAGACGGCCCGCCCCTTCTGTTGAGCAGGGACCGACCGTCCCAGCATTCCTATAGGCCTACCACGAGATGTTCTTAGAACCCAGAGCTGTTCTAACAACAACAGCAACAACAACAACGTTCTTATATCATAAACCCGATGTGTTAAAGCAAGACGTACTCAGCCGGACATGTTCTAATACCGTTTCGTGCAAACCACAAAAGGTTCTTAGGACATTCTTTGGTGGGCCTGTAGGCGACCCAGGCCGCTTCGCCACTGCTTGCTTCTCACTTCCCCCTCCTCGCTCGCCGCCGATCGATCCATGCCCTCGGAGAAGCCCTCTCCGGAGCGAGGAGGAGGGCCAGGCCGAGAGAGGCACCGGCGCGCCTCTCCGCGGCGAAGGCCTCCAGCACCGTGGCGTCCAGCCAGGCGCGGCGCGACTCGCTCCACACCTCATTTGGCGGCGAGCAAAGGGGGGGGAATGAGAAGGAGAAGGCCTTCCCAGAGGGCGGCGGGATTTCTCAGAAGCCTTCCCACCTTCTGAGATGTTTTCTGTGTCTTCGGGGAAGGCTTAGACAACTTCTCAGAAGTCTGGGGGACTTCCGAGCCTTCTGAGAAGGCCCGCCCCTTCTCACTCCCCCCCCGGGCTCGACGCCGACTTCTGCGGGGGCTGCCGCCGAGGGCGGGGAGGGGAACTTCCTCTTGCCAGATGCCGCTGGCAGGCCCGAGCCAGATCGCATCGCGAAGTCGGATCGGGTCGCGAAATAGGAGCGGATCGCCGACGAACCGCCCCGAATCGGATTGAACGACATCCGATCGCCGCACCGGGCTCCAGCCGGCCTTGGCCGATGCTGGTGAATTGAGCCGCATCGAACCGAATCGGAACCGCGGGCCCAGCCAGCGAACCGAATCGCATCGCATCGGGTCGCGAGCGGCCCTGGCTGGCTGAGCGGAGGAGGAGGAAGAGGAGGAGGAGGCGGAGGAGGAGGACGAGGAGGAGGAGGAGGAAGAGGAGAGGAAGAGGAGGAGGAGAAGGAGGAGGAGGAGGAGGAGGAGGAGGTGGAGGAGGAGCAGGGGGAGGCACGCAACCCGTGCTCTGGTTCCTGTCTAGCTGGCGCGGGCCAGTGTCGCAAGGGGGCGCCGAGAGCGAGCGCCGGCAGCAGCGCGCGAAGCCTCCGAGCTCCCCCCGCAGGGTTGCTCCCTGAGGAGGCTTAGCCCCTCCTCCTAAACTGAACTTGCATCGCAACGGGGTCCACTCAATTCCACTCCACTCCACTCCACTCCACTCCACTCCACTCCACTCCACTCCACTCCACTCCACTCCACTCCACTCCACTCCACTCCACTCCACTCACTCCACTCCACTCCACTCCACTCCACTCCACTCCACTCCACTCCACTCCTCCTCCACCTCCCTCCTCCTCCTCCTCCTTCTCCTCTTCCCTCCTCCCTCCTCCTCCTCCTCCTCCTCCTCTTCTTCTTATTCTTCTTCTTCTTCTCCTTCTTAGTTTTCTTCTCCTTCTTCCTCTTCCTATTCCTCCTCCTCCTCCTCAAGAAGCCGACGAGATACCTGCCAACAGAAAAACGAGGGCCACGCTCGGCAGGATGTGAAACCGTTGGCTGGGCTTGCAGGCGGCCCGGGGTTCTGAGCTGGTTGGGGCCCCAGAGAATCGGTCGGGGGGGGGGGATGCAGCCTCAAAATCAGTCCTCAGACCCCTTCCGAAGTCCATCTGGTGCAATTTTTCACCCTGGATCCGTTCTGGACGGTCCCGGAGCCTGGAAACGGCCCCGGAGGCGGAAAAAGGCAGAACACCCTCCCAAACCCAGAACCTCGCACCTGCCCTCCCTTCCTGCTCGCTGGAACCAGTGCTGGGCCACCTCAGACCCCCAGCTGGCTCCAAGGCTGGGCAAGCATCCCACGAGGGGTGCGGGCCGCCAGGTCCAAGGCAGCGAGGGGCGGGCATCACAAGGCCCTCCGCTGCGTAGGCGGGAGACGGGGATGCACCGCGTGGGCGTGCCCAGACGTGTGCGGGGGAGCTGGTGCTTCTACTGCAGTCGAGTCTGACTGGAGAGCACACGCGAGAGGGCGCGAGACTCTTCCTAAGCCTAGCTGCCCCGATACGCAACACGCAACACTTACCGTGTTGACGCGGAGCTCAGAACGTAGACTGAAAACGTAGGTCTGGCGCGATGCGTTCGCCAAAACGTGGACCACATGCCTAGCTAACATGCAGCAACGTGTCAACATGGACGTTTGAACACGGCACGTGTTGCGTTTCACCACGGGCGCATCAAGGCAGCTAGGCACGCGAAACTCTTCCGAAAGCCACATGGCCCCAACTGACTGCATGTGCCGCTGCACCGGGGATGCAGAGGGCATGGGACGCGACGCACAGGACACAGAGGGCATCCTTGATTTGGCAGGGTCGACCTACTGATCAAACTCGACTGTGGAGCTGCGTGCGCGCTTCGCGCACGCGTAGGTTCTAGAGCAGGTCGAGGCAACGCCTCGACCTGCTCTAGAGGAGGAGGAGGAGGCGGAGGAGGAGGAAGAGGCGGAAGAGAAGGAGGCAGTCGAAACCCAATCGCCACGGCTCGTGTGGCACCTGCCATGAGGTCACCCCCCGATCATCGTGCTACCGAAAAGGACCGCTGGATTAGGACCGGATGGGCCCGGATGGGGCTCTTCTGGCCACGGCGAGCCTCGGCCACGAGCAGGCTTCGCGGCCTTGATCCGAGGAGCGGCCCCGCAGCCAGGAGCCCCTCCTGAGGCCAAGGTAATCCTGACGCAAGGGAAGGAGTGGCCGCTGGCGCCTCAGACAGCCAAGATGGCGAGCCTGTCTGACTTTGGCAGCCCAGGGGCCCGTCTCGGCCCTGGGGCGAGGCAAGCACAGCCCGCAAAGTGAGCCCCAAGAGGTCCACGTCCTGAGAAGCGACCCCCAAGCTGCGGCCCCGCGTGGCGTGGGGGAAGCAGAGGGGACGCGCGCGCGGGTCTCTGGCTCACTCTGTCCTCGCCTCTCCTCTCTTCGGTGCTGCTCTCCTTTTCTCGCCTTCGCTCGCCCTCCTTCTTGTCCAGAGGTCTGGGTCTGGGCTGCAATCCTCATCCCCCCCTTCGACGCCCCCCCCCCGCGGCGGCGGCGAGGCCGCTCTGAGTGGGGCCGGGCCTGCAGCCTATCTCCCCTGGCGAAGGGTGCGCCGCTCGAGGCGGCGGGCGGCGCTGCCCCGTGGGCCGAGCCTGCGCTGGACAGGGAGGGGGGGAGGTGCTCCTCCTTCCAGCCTCCTCCTCTTCATGATCGTTCTCCTCTTCCTCCGCCTCCTGCTCCTGCTCCCCCTTTTCCTGCTCATCCTCCTGCTCCTGCTGCTCCTGGTGGTGGTGGTGCTGCTGCTCCTCCTCCTCATCCTCCTCTTCCTCCTCCCTCGTCCCTCTGTCGTAGTAGTCGTAGTAGTCGTAATCGTCCTAGTGGTATTATTATTATTATTAGTAGTAGTAGTAGTAGTCGTAGTAGTAGTAGTACTAGTAGAAGTAGTAGTAGTAGTAGTAGTAGTAGTAGTAGTAGTAGTAGTACTAGCAGTAGTAGTAGTAGTAGTAGTAGTAGTAGTAGTAGTAGTAGTAGTAGTCGTAGTCGTAGTCGTAGTCGTAGTAATAGTAGTAGTAGTAGTAGTAGTAGTAGTAGTAGTAGTAGTAGTAGTAGTAGTTGTAGTAGTAGTTAGTAGTAGTAGTAGTAGTAGTCGTCGTAGTAGTAGTCAGGTCAGTTAATTGTATGTAGTGTTGTTAGTAGTTGTTAAATTCTTATTTTTGTAATTTGTAGTAGTTGTAGTAGTCGTATCCGTACTAGCAGTAGAACTCGTGGTAGTAGCCGGGGTAGTACTAGTCGCAGTCATAAATCATAGAAGTAGTAGTCGTAGTAGCAGGAGTCGTAGTAGTACACGTACTATTACTATTCTTAGTGGCAGCAGTAGTAGCAACAGTAGTAGTCGTGATAGAAGTCGTCGTAGTAGTAGAAGTGGCAGTCGTCGTCGTAGTAGTAGTAGTAGTAGTAGTAGTAGTAGTAGTAGTAGTAGTAGTAGTAGTAGTAGTAGTATTAGTAGCAGCAGCAGCAGTAGCAGCAGCAGTAGTAGAAGAAACATTCGTAGTAGTTAGTAATAGTAGTAGTCGTAGTAGTTTCGTGGCCCCACAGGGAGCTCCACCGAAAGCCCCAGTGGCGGCCCCGACCCAGTGCGGCGCACCCCTCACACGTTTCGCGGCCCCACAGTGGGTTCCACCTAGGAACCCCAGTGGCAGCGCCCACATGGCGGCCCCGCCCCACATTGGCACATCCTTCGCATGCTTCATGGCCCCATGAGGCAATCCCCCGAAGGCGATACCCGCAACGACGGTACTCACAACTGCTTAAAGTTGGGTCCTTCGCCAGGGTAGCTTTTATGGGCAAGTTGTCCTCGAACGCTTCGCCAGTTGAGTGTCATCACTGAAACTCCCAACCTAAGCCAAAACGTGAGAGGCTTCCACAAAAGCCTAGAAGTTCAGCTTGTCAGGCCAAACCAGCCCCGTGTCTCCTCGCGGGGGTCTCCCCTGAGAGAAGCCGCTGCCCTGCCTCACAAGCTAGGTGCCGCTGTCTACTGCAAGCACTGCTACGGATGGACAGCAGGCGTGAAAGGAGACACGACGACGTGCCGAACGAGAAAGCAGACTCGAGGAGAGCTGGCGGCGCCCAACTCTCAAGGCCCTGGGGCCCGAGGCCGGGCGATCACGCTGGGCGAACACGCGAGTCTCTTTGGGGACCTTGGCACTGCCCCAGCAGAGGCCTCCCAGATGGGGTCCGAGTTGACGGCGTCGGAGAATCGATACATCCGGCGATGCATCGGCGATGCATCACCGCCGTCGGCGCGGAGAAAGTCGAGCTCCACATCGAGCCGCATCGCCGATGCATCGGCGATGCGGCACGACATCTACTCGGACCCCATCTGGGAGGCCCAGAACCTTCCCAGACCCCGGACGTCGTGCTTTTTCACGCAACGTCGACCCCCAGAGGTCTGGACCCCTTTCCCGGGGCCGGTTTTTCATCCGGAATTGTTTTCGGAAGGTCCTGGGGCACGGGTAAGGGCTTCTAGAGGCAGAACATAGCGAAAAACCTCCCGTCGTGATTTTTTCTAAGGGCTCCTAGGGGCAGAAAATAGCGAAACACCTCCCGTCGTGATTTTTTCACAGCGAGGGGGTCTGAGTTGGCGCTGCCCCCGATGGCCCGCCGCAAGGCGTCGGCAGCGCGCGCCGCGGGGGCGCCGCGATGGGGCCTGCGGAGGGCGACGGCGGAGCCGAAGCGGCAGGGATCAGCGCCTCGGCGACGTGCTCGGGCAAGATCCACCTGGGGAGGAGCCGGGGAGGAGGAGGAGGAGGAGGAGGAGGAGGAGGAGGGGGAGGAGGAGGAGGAAGAGGAGGAGGAGGAGGAGGAAGAGGAGGAGGACCAGTGTAAAACCAAGAGTCATCAACGATGCTGGAATTCACCCTCCCTCCAAGCTCCCTATTCATAGGCCCCCACAACGGTTCATTTCCATTGAAGGAACTGCCTCGTTGGAAGACAACCGTTTGAAGATCCTGAAGCATGCCAAAACATTGTTCTCGGGATTTCAACGCCACGTGTCAACCTGACTGCTGCGTCTTGACGATCTGGAATCGTACCAGAGCGCCATTTTTGGGATTTCAACACCGCAAATCAACATGACTGTTGAGCCCGCATAATCCTGAATCCTTTTAAAACACAAGTTTTGGTACGTTGACCATGGGATTCCGTGAATCTCTTGCCAATTTTGGAAACGAATGTGCGCGGAGCGAAAGCGAAAACCGCTGTTTGAAAAAGAGCCGCCCTCAATCCGGGAACCTTTTGCAAATTTTGAAAACGAATGTGCGCGGCGCGAAGGCGAGAACCACATTGTAAGACTACCCGCCCTCATTCCGTGAAACTCTTGCGCATTTGAAAAAACGAATGAACCCCGGCGCTAAGGAGAGAACCACATTTTGAAAACCACCCGCCCTCCATCAGTGAAAGTCGTGCACATTTTTAAAATGAATGTGCGCGGCGCGAAGGCGAGAACCACATTTTGAGATCCACCCGCCCTCGATCCGTGAAGCTCTTGCACATTCTTAAAACGAATGTGCGCGGCGCTAAGACGAGAACGACATTTTAAAAACCACCCGCCCTCAATCCGTGAAACTCTTGCAATTGTTTGAAACGAATGTGTGCGGCGCTAAGGCGAGAACCACATTTTGAAAACGAATCACCCTCCATCAGTGAAGCTGTTGTTACTTTTTAAGTTTCAGAATCATAAGTGGTGATGAACTCTCAAGCGAAACGCCCGGCCCGCCCTAACAACTGGCCTCGGGGTGCGACAGCGAGGAGTTATCTAGAAGGAGAAGGAATGGAGGAGGAGGAGGAGGAGAAGGAGGAGGAGGAGGAGGAGGAGGAGAAGGAGGAGGAGGAGGAGGAAGAGGATGAGGCGGAAGGGAGAGGAGGCGGCGTATTCTGGGAGGAGGGGAGGAGGATTAAGCGAGATGAAGCGGGCCAAAACGGATCACGGTTCCCTGCGGTTTCGTGCCGTGGGAATTCTGGCCGTTTCGGGCCGTCCCCGAGCCGAGCCAGAACTCCAGGAAGCCCCGATTGGGACTGCAAGATTCTCGCACGAGCTGATCTCTGCACTGAGTTGAGGGTGGCCCGTCCGAACCCGCGGCAACATACCCTGCTGCCATTGCCAATTTTGGGTCGAGCTTCGCCCCCGGCTTTTCGCAGGAGGCTTGCCACTGAGCCCCCGATGATTTGCAGCCCTGCCTTGCACGGCTGCTCCTGTGCCATTCCGCGCACGAGCTGATCCCAGCGTTGTAGTTGGTGACATTCGCTCCTGCACCTCGCACGCCCCGATCCCCGCACTGTAGCAAAGATCGAGACCGGGCCTCCAGCTTCGCCTTCCACTTCTCGCAATGGCGTCGGAGCTGCCGCTTAGAGTAGCGCCAGTGCCTGCTGCCACTGCTCTCTCTCTTTCGCCGCGTGCTCGCGGTGAGCTGCGCCACAGTCTGCTTCCGCTGCTCTCTCTGGCCCTACCGTTGCCCTTATCCCAGCGCTGTAGCTGAGGACGTCGGGCTCGAGTGTCGCCTGGCGGCCACCAGCGTCCCCCTTTGTGTTGTAGCTGATGGCGTTGGGCTCGGCCTTCCCGCGCGAACCGCTCACCGCTGTTTGCCCCGATCCCCGCTCTGTAGCTGATCGCGTCGGGCTTGGACTTCGACTCCCACATCTCGCATAACTTTCCTTCCGCTTCTCGCAGTGGTGTGGGTCCCGCTCTGCTTTCGTCCGCCCACAGCCGTGGCGACGAGGGTGAGGGAGACAAGGGAGAAGGTGGAAGGAAAGGGCTGGAAACCTCGCCGACGCCTCCCGCCTGTCGCAGGTGACATCTGGCCCCAAACTTCACCTCCCTTTCCTCACATCGCCCTCTCGCGTCGCACGGCCCTTTTCTCTCAGCGCCAGAGTCCGCCGCCGTGGCGTGCCCCCTCCTCTCACTGGCGGCCCCCGGCGTTGCCGATCGCAGCCCGCCCTCGCTTCTCGCAGCGCCAGCTGTGGCTGCCACTGCGCGTGCCCTTTGTCGCACGGGCTGCTCCCAGCGCTGCTGATCGTGGCCAGCCCGCACCTTTCTCGCGGCGCCGGCTTCGGCTGCCACTGCGCGCCTCCTGTCTCGCGCGGACTGCTCCCAGCGCTGTAGCTGATGGTGGCCCACCCGCACGTTTCGTTCAGCCTGCCTCCAGCCTCTCGCAATCCAGCCAGAGCCTGCTGCCACTGCTCGCCCTTCTCGCACGCGCTGGTTTCAACGCTGCGTCGGGCTCTAGCTTCATCTCCGTGTCCCGGAGCCCAGCCAGAGCCTGCTGCCACTGCCCGTTTTTCTCACACGCTCTGCTTTCGGCACTGTAGCTGAACAAGTCAGGCTGTATCCCTACTCTTTCCCGCTCGTGGAGCCCAGCCAGACTCTGCTGCCACTTTTCCCTCTTCTCGCATATGCTGATTCCAACAATGTAGCTGATGAAGGCGTCGGGCCCCTGCGCTTTGAGGCCAGTGTGCTGTGCGGCCTCACTGGTGCTCGCCAGCAGAAGGAGGAGGAGGGGGGGGGGCGGGGAAAGAGAAAACAAAAGGACGGGAATACATCCTGGCCCCTCTGCATCCGCCTATTCACGGCTACGCCACGGCTGGCGGTGCCGCTTCTTTACGGCCCATGCTTCTCGATGGCGGGTTCCCCGAGGCAGCGTCGCTCCGAAGTTTACATCAGGAACACCGGGGCCGGCCCGCGCAGGGAGGGGCCGCAGGGGCGCGGAACGGCTAGGGGAGGAGGAGGAGGAGGAGGAGGAGGAGGAGAAGGAGGAGGAGGACGAGGCGGAGAACAGAAAGAGAACAGAACAACTCTCGGGCGCCTGTGTCGATGTCTATCGGCATCTACTCGAAATAATTGGCACCTGAGTGGCCTCGGAGGGCAGCTTCACCCATGTCCCGCCACCTGCTGGCACTGGGAATGAGTGCACGGGCCCCTGTCCGCCCGTGGCACGGGTGTGCGTGCTCGAGGGGGGCGGCAGCACGCTGCCCAAGACCTTTTATCACCCCCTACCCCGCAGGAGAGCCCAGAATCGAACCGACAAATTGAATCGGCGATCGAAATGAATCGGATCGGCGGAAATCGACAACCGAGTCGGGACACATCGAATCAGTAGACATCGGCAGCCTAGTAAACCTCCGTTGAGAAATCGGAGCCAAGATCGGGATCCGGAGCCGAATCGAACCGGAATCGGAATCCGTCGAAGTCGAATCGAATCGGAGGACTCGAACCGAGCCCTGGCCTTCGGTCGGGCATGTCTTCCTACTGGCGGATTTTGGACGGAGAATAGAAATACCCAACACATACTCCCAAAATACTCAGAAATGGTCAAGACATCGTCCCCGGACTATTTTTTTTGTTGGCTCGCCCCGCCTGCCCTCTCGGGGCTCGGCCAGGCGGGCCCCCCCTGCTGCGACGGCCCTCCCGCCTCTCCGCCCAGGAGGCGGGCCGGAGCCGAACCGGATCGGAGCCGGAGTCCGCCGAAGGCGAATCGAGTCGCAGCGGAGGGAGCGAAACGAGCCCTGGCCCCGCCTGCCCTGTGGGGGCTCGGCCAGACACGCTCCCCCCCCTGCCGCGACGGCCCTCCCGCCCAGCCGCCCCAAGAGAGGCAGGGCAGAGGCTCGGAGGGGGCGCCTCGAGGGCCGGCAGGAGGGGCCGGTCCCAGCAGGGGGCGCTCAGGGAAGGTGCCCAGGGACACACAACAGCAGAGGCACACGATTCCCAGGTTGCCCCCATCTTTTCCCATACTCTCTGGCTTTTCGTCGTCCCCCCCCCACTTCCCATCTCTTCCCATGTTTTCCTGGGAGTCGACGATTCATTGTGTCTGTGTGTTGTTTTTCCCCTCCTGAGCCAGGCCGCCCCTGACGGAGACGAAGCCAGGACGATGAGCATTCCAAGGGCCCCTAAGCCTTTGGGAGGGGACCTGAATTAGGAGGGCCAGAAACCCGAGGGATGGGCGGTCTTTGCTGCAGATGTCTCGAGCCAGACCGTCCAGGCACAGTTTGTCCCCAGTGCAAGGACCGGGACCTCAGTGAGGCCACGTCGTCGCTGCGTTATTAGGGTTGTTTTTTATCCGCCATGTTCGGACTGGGACCACATCCCAGACATGCGACGTCCTGATTTTTTCAGGACGGCGCCTCTGGAAATCCCGACCCTATCTCCAGGACCGGTTTCTCGTCCTGAGCCGTTTTCTGACGGTCCCGAGGCTCGGCGAGGGCCCCCCGAGGCCCAAAAGAGCCCCAAAACCTCCCGTCCCGATTGTTTTACGACGCCATCCTGTCTGGGACCAGACCGGGGAAACTCTGAAGGCCGACGGTCCTGGAAGCTGTGTCGGGCGCCGCGGCCGCTCCACAGCGCCCTGGAACGACCCGTCCCGGTCGTGGCCCCGCCCGACGGACCCTCCCACAATCTCGACCTAAGTCGGGCCTGGCCACCTACAGCGGGATTTGGAGGGAAAAAAAAAATAGTATCAAAAAACCCAAAATGATCAAACAACAGTAAACATATAATCCTCGTACTATTTTTTGGCTATTTTTGCATACCCCTCCTGTAGAGGGACAGGCCCGACTTAAACCTCGACTCCTGCGGCCCGCCCCTTGCCACTTCTCGCCGGCGGCCGACGTCACCTTCAGGGTCCCGGCCGGGATGAAATAGCCGTCCCTTCGGGAGGGCAGCGCGAAAGCCTGGCCGCGGCGGGGCCGGGGAGGGGCGAGGGGAAACGTCCTGGGGGGGACCGGCGCATGAGCCGGTCCCCCCCAATACGTTGCCGATTCCAGCCCCAGACATTCGACTTCCTGCTTCTATCAGGGCGGCGTTCTTGGAAGTCCCGACCTTTTCCCCCCGGGCCGGTGTTTCATTCTGCGTCGTCTCTTGACGGCCCCGGGGCACGGCGAGGGCCCCCCGGGGCCGAAAGCAGCGAACAACTGGCCGTCCTGTGTTTTCTACGACGCGGTCCTGTCTGGGGCCCGAGGTCTGCCCTCCCTGCGGGGCGGGGGAAGCGCCGAGCTGGGACCGGCGACCGCCGAGGTCTGCCCCCCCTGCGAGGGCGGGGGAAGCGCCGAGCTGGAGAACCGGCGACGCTGATGCATCGCCGACAGAGCGGCGGTAGGCCCCCAGCAGCAGAGCCGCACGCTCTGGGGCGGGGTGGGCCGAGGAGTGGGCGATTGGGCCTCCTGCTCCTCCTCCTCCTCCTCCTCCTGCTCCTCCTCCTCCTCCTCCTCCTCCTCCTCCTCCTCCTCCTCCGCCTCCTCCTCCTCCTCCTCCTCCTCCTCCTCCTCCGCCCCTCCTCCTTCTCCGCCTCCTCCTCCTCCTCCTCCTCCTCCCTCTCCTCCTCCTCCTCCGCCTCCTCCTCCTCCTCCTTCTCCTCCTCCTCCTCCGCCTCCTCCTCCCTCTCCGCCTCCTCCTCCTCCTCTCCTCCTCCTCGTCGCCTCCTCCTCCTCCTCCTCCTCCTCCTCCTCTCCTCCTCCTCCTCCCTCCTCCTCCTCCTCCCCCTCCTCCTCCTCCTCCTCCGCCTCCTCCTTCTCCGCCTCCTCCTCCTCCTCCTCCTCCCTCCTCCTCCTCCTCCTCCGCCTCCTCCTCCTCCTGCTCCTCCTCCTCCTCCTGCTCCTCCTTCTCCTCCTCTTGGGAGTCACAGCCCCGCCCTGAGAGGTCGGGCATGTCCTCCTACAGGCGGATCTTGGAAGAGGAATGAAACATAATCCAAATATAATCAACCAAAAATCACCAAAAAGAGCACAACACATCGTCACCAGACTATTACTTTTGACTATTCTTCGAAGATTCCTCCTGTAGAAGGACATGCCCGACCAAAGCCCATCCCCCTCTGGTGTTGCCCCTGGCGACAAGGCGAGGGCGGGGCGGTGCGGGGCCGCTCGCGGCTGGCAGGTGCCGCGCGCAGCTCTCGGGCGCGGCCCCGAAGAGCCGGGCGTCGCAGCTATCGCTGCTGCTCGTTCGCGCGCGGGCGCGTTCGTTCGGCTTCGGGACCCAGGACACCTCACGGATCGATCCGGCTCGAGAGCCACGACGCCCACAGGCCACCACATGCGAGCCCAACCCCTCCAGGGCAGATGGCACAAACGCCGGCTGGGGTTCGGAATGCGAAGGATGGTTGCAGCCAGATGAACCCCAGCGGGGTTGTGCGACATGGGGTCGTCGAGGGCCCTCGTCGTGATTAGTCACGTTTTTTGGGGAGGCCAAACGGTACCCATACCGCTACACCATGGGCCTCTCCCAGGGTGCGTTCGGACTAGAATTTCGAAGTGAATCCAATGGTGGCGACGAGGGCCTCCCACGAGGTTCAGAAACGAAAACGAATAAAAAGGGTATGAGGGGCATACGCATCGGTCCCTCTTCCTTCTCCGATTTTTCCGGCGGCGTCGGGTCCCTCGGTCAGGTCGTCGGGCGGACGCTGTTCTGGCTTTTGTGGGCCGCCCCTCGTGGACAGAGGCCGCGGGCCGGCTTCCGCGCCGTCGTCCGAAGACAAGAGCAAACGCATTGGGCGGGCGGGCCCGTCAGGGAGACCGCTCCTAACCGGCCTCGAACGCTTCCCTATCTCAGGGCTGCACAAGCGCAAAGCGATGACAGTCTTAAGAATGTACCCTCAGAAGATGAGGGGACCAGACCATTAAGATCGGCACCGCTTATCGGTGAGGCCAAACATCAGGATATGGATCTGTTTCAAGCTGGTGAGCTCCTGGTCCGACGCCGTGGCCCGAAGGGCAATCGACATCGAATCGCAAAATCGGATCGGGTCGGAGCTTGCCTCGGAGCGGGCTCGACATCGGCACGGAGTTGAAACGTCGGATCCGATCAGGTCGAAACATCTGAGTCGTGCAGACATCGGGTCGCATCGGATCGCTTGGACATCGAAGCCGGACCAACTCGACTTGGGCGACGTCGGTATCGAATCGGATCGTTCGAATCGTAACGGGCCCTGCCTCCCTTTCCGCGGCGGCCCTGGCGTGCGTTCCAGGGTTGCAGTTTCGGCATCCCCCCCCCGACCTTGACCCCCCCCCTCTCTCTCGCAGTCGCCGAGCGCTCCACCCGCAGGGCGCGCCCCGCGCCTGGCGCGCGCGGGCGCGGCCAGGGCTGGGGCGGGCCCGCCCTCTCCGAAGGGAGGGGATGGAGAGGAAGGCCGCCCGCACTCGCGAAAACCACCTGCGGCCTCGGACGGGGAGGTGGTGAGGCGGGTTGGGCGGCGGGGCCACTCGACCGTAGATGTGGCACGTACTGTAAACCTAGCACCTTGCCAGTCGCGTAGTACACGGAGTACCTTGTTGGTGATGCACCAGGTTTCCAAGATGTTGCCTACAACGCAACATGGATAGACGAAGTCTCTGGTATACTATGAGCATGTGTACATTTGTCCGTAGGGCTGCTGTAGTTCGTAATCTTCTCTGGCTTCAGGCAGGTCGGTCTCGCCATGACTCTCCAGAAATCGTCGCTTGCCAGGTCGTAATACTCAGCGTTCCACCTGTCTTTGTTTGAGTAGGTGCTGTCCTTCTCGCCACTTTCCTCGTGCTCCACGTCGGTCTCGTTGTCCTCGTCGTCGCACTCGTCTTCCTCCTGTTGTCGTAGCAGTTCTGCGGCGGAAATGGGCATGGGTCGCTGGCCCATAGGTACCCAGTTCTGTTGCGCCTCGCAGTGGTCGCAAGCGGACAGGATCGGTTTTCATAGATTCTGAAGGGCCCAGCGAGCGGACCATCGTGTCCCCGTCCCCGTAGTGGTGGCGGCCAGCGCTCGTGTCTATGGCCACCATCGTGTCGCGGAGCTTGTTGTGCGCGGTCTCCGTGAAGTTGGATATGGCCCTGATGGCGAAGGCCTCTGTAATTGCTTTCCCCTCGGCGCTAATGGCCCTCAGGAAGTCCAGCCCCCCACCCGCGGCGTACATGATGAAGATGGGCTCGTCCTGCTCGTCGCTATCCTCGTCCTCCTCTCGTGGCCTCGGCTTGTTGCCCCCGTGATTCTGCTGGTGGCCCTCGTAGTTGTGTCGAGGGCTCCAAAAGCTCCGCTCGTGGATCTTGTAGTTCCGATGGTAGCGCTGTTAGCTCTGCTGGAGGCCCCTGCTGCTCAGCTCGTGTCCCGCGTAGCTCAGCTTGTGGCATTTGTAGTCTCGTTGGTGGCCCTCGTAGTTCAGCTGGTGGTCCTCGTGCTCCGCCTTGTGGTTCTGGTAGCTTGGCTTGCCGACCTCGAAGCTAAACTGGTGGCCTTGGCGGCCCTGCAGGTGGCTCTGGAAGCTCAGCGGGTGGCGCTGGTAGCCCCGCTGGTAGCTACCATAGCTCTGCTTGTGGCCTACGTAGCTCAGCAAGTGGCCCTCGTACCTGTACTGGTGGCTCTCGTAGCTCGACAGGTGGTCCCGGTACCTCGACTGGTGGCTGTCGTAGCTCTGCGCGCGGCCATCGTAGCTCAGTGTGTGGCCCCCTAGTTCAGCTGGTGGCTCTCGAAGTCCTGTTCGCGGCCCTCGTAGCTGCCTTGTGCTGCCCCTGTCGTTCAGCAGGTGGCTCTCGTAGCTGTGTCGGGGGCTCTCGTCTCTGTGCAAGTGGACCTTGTAATTCCACTGCCCTCTGGGCTGAGTGGCTTAACGAGTTGTTCTCAGCCCCTTGCCACAACCCCTCCTTCCCCTGCTCGGGGGAGGGGTTTACCTCTCCCCCTCCCCGCTCCCCTGGGCCTGGAAGGGGGGGGGGGCGAGCCGTCAGAGCGCCCAAAATGGTCCAAGATGGCTCCAAGAGGGCCCATGACAGCCCATGACGACCTCCAAAATGGTTCAAAATACCTCAACATCGATCAAGATAGCCTCCGGCATGCCTCCAAGACAGCCCAAGACAGCCCCAAGACGGTTGCAAATGCCCTTCGAGCCCCCCCAAGGCATCCCCCAAGAGGTTTGCATCAGGCCAAACCAAGAGGAGCATCACTGTTTTTTGGCTTCTCGCTTTTTCGCTTCCGATGGGCCTCTTGGGCCTCAAGATGGCCCTAGCGAGGCCAACGGTGGCCCAAGACGGCCCCAAGACGGCTCCAAGGGCGCCCAGAACGCGCCCAAGAGCGGCCCAAGAGGCCCTGAAGAGACCATCTTGGAGCCTCCGAGGGGGGGGGCCTAACTTGGATACCCCCCTTCTTTGATCGATCTCCTCCAAGATGGCCCCGAGAGAGCCCGAAGGGGCGCCCAGCTCCACCAGGGAGGCGCCCGGCATCACCAGGGAGGCCCCCAGGAGGCCCCCACGAGAGACCCTCCGAGGCTCCAAAAGGCTCCTCCGAGGCATCAAAGACGCTCCAGGAGGCCCCAAGGACCATCAAGACCTCTCCTCCTCCGCTTCCTCCTCCACCTCCTCCTCTTCGCCGTATGTTTTTTCTACACCACTTCGGAGCCACAAGAACATTGGCAACGAGTGACACATCCAGGGTCGCATGCAACCTCCTACTCCCCCTCCCCCTCCCCCCTCCTCCTCCGCCTCCTCCTCCTCCTCGTCCTTCTCCTCCCCCTCTCCTTCTCCTCCTCCTCCTCCTTCTCCTCCTCGTCCCCCTCCTCCTCCCCTCCTCCTCTTCTCCTCCTCGTCCCCCTCCTCCTCCTCCTCCTCCTCCTCCTCCTCCTCCTCCTCCTCCTCCTCCTCCTCCTCCTCCTCTTCCTCCTCTCACACCTTGCACAATTTCCCCAATCCGGTTCGGACAATCATGTGTAGCACGGTGGTGCAGGAGCTCCTCCCCGATGGCGTAACCTTGGTGGCAGGTCAACATGTGTCGAGCAATGGCCTCCAAGAGTACCTCCATGAGGCCACACAGACGCCAGGCCGACTTGTCGAACCTACAACGTGACAAATCATGCAACACATGTTCCCGCCCTCCGCATCCCAAGGAACACACAGAAACAAGAAACAAAACATCCAAGGCGGCTGCCGCACTGATTGTTTCTACGCTGCCCTGATCACGACAACTCGCCTGGCGATTGTGTCTCGATGGGGTGGTGGGGATACTCTTTCGGTCGCGGCCGCGAGCGAAGAGCGCAGGCGGCGAAGAGAAGTCGTCCGGGCCGACGGGCGAAACATGTTTTTTTTGTTTGGGGGGGGGGTCGCGGCCGCGAGCGAAGGGGCAGGCGGCGAAAGCAAAGTCCGGGGCGCGAGCGAGGCTAATTAGCTACAACAGGCACAGGCTGGCCGGTCCACTCACAAAGCAGCCGCGAAGCTGAAGGGGAGCTGACGGCGGGGGGCATCCTGAGAGCTCGAGCACGTGCACAGGACAAAGTGTCATGGAATTCGGTGCCTGCCATGGCACGACCCACACAGTATGAGACGTGGACCAGGATAGCCAAGTCCGTCGTTCTGAGTGGGGGCAGTGGTGGGGATACGCGAAGCGTCAAGAATTCAGCCGGTGGCGCTGGTAGCTCTGCTGGAGGCCCTCGTTGCTCGGCACGTGTTCCACGTATTTCAGCTCGTGGCCTCTGCAGCTCGGCTGGTGGCCCTCGCAGTTCAGCTGGTGGTCCTCGTAGCCCAGCTGGCGAACCACAAAGCCCAGCTTATCCTTGTAGTTTTGCTGGTTTGCTCAGTGAGTGGCTCTCCTAATTCTGCAGGTGGTCCTCGCCGCACAGCTGGTGGTCATTGTAGTTCAGCAGGTGGTCCTCGTAGCTCAGCTGGTGGTTCTGGTGGCTCTGCAGGTGACCCTGGTAGCCCAGCTGTTGGCACTCGTAGCTCTGCGCGCGGCCCTTTTAGCACAGTTTGTGGCACCCGTAGCTCAACTGGTGGCTGCTGAAGCTCAGCTGGTGGTCCTCGAGGCCATGCGCGTTGCAGTGGAAGTTCGGCAAGTCGTCCTTGTAGCTCTGCCGGTGACCATTGTAGCTATGTTGTGGTCTCCTGGGCCTTCCTGCCCTCCTGGGCCTCCCTGGCCTCCTCTGCCTTCTTGGCCTCCTGGGTCTTCCTGGACTTGTACCAGTGGTCCCCAGCGGCGTAGCTGCGCTGGGAATCGCGGTCCTGGCAGTTCTGGTAGCAATCGTAATCCTGGTGGTCGTCGTAGCACCAGCAGTCGTACCTGCTCTGGGGCCGCTGTAGCTGGCCACGCTGACTCTAGTATCTCAAAAAACACCAGGTCGCCCCAGTACTTTCTATTCTCGCCTGGGGGGAAGATCGTGGTCCGCCTCGGTTTGAAGATGGCCGCGGCTGGGCTCAAGCCGCCGCTCTTACTATCGTTACTGGTGGTGGTTCCCGTACTTGGGCTACCTGTTATGAAGCCAGTGTTTGGTCTGCATGTTACGCAGCTCGTCCCGTCCTGTCGTGGACGCTATCATGAAGGCGGTCGTAGCGGTGGTCATCATGTGGTTGAGGTGTGGTTGTAGCCCGTGTCCGACAATGTAGCTCGTTCTATTGAGATGTGCAGCTTTTCGTACTCCTTTACGCGTGTATGGCCTTTGCATATTTGCTGGTGGGTCTCCATCGAAGTGGGTCGATCCGGTTGCCCTTAGCTGATGTTGTGGATGTCCGGCTTGTAGCTCTACAGCTGGTGGATGACGATCCTCTCCAAGATGTTCACCAGCAGGTGGATGATCACCATCTCCCAGATGTTCGCCTTCTCGTGTTACGCGCGCCGCCGATCGCGGCTGGCGCGCTGAGGCCCCCCGAGGGCGCGCGCGCGGCTGGGCGCGGCGCCCAGGGGCGAGTGTGGTGGATCTAGAATTCCCACGAACAGCCTTGACGTTGCCCTTGGTTCTCCTGTTCGTCATCGCTAGTATCCCAGTCCCTCGGAGCGCAGCACCAACGCTCCCTGAATTGGTACCAGCCCCCCACTGCACGGCACCAGTCTCCCGTGATCAGCCGCTCCTCCTCCTCCTCCTCCTCCTCCTCCTCCTCCTGGTCTTGCTGAAGCTCTTACTCCAACTCCTCCTCCTCCTCCTCCTCCTCCTCCTCCTCTTTTGCCTCCTCCTCCTGACGAAGAGGAGGCATACTATTACCATTCAACAACATTACAAGGCAAGCGGATCAGGAGGAACAGAAGAAGAGGAGAGGACGACCTCGCACCGCGCATCCTCTTCTTCTTCTTCTTCCTACTCCTCCTCCTCCTTCTCCTCGCCGTCCTCCTCGCCTTCTCTCCTGGAGCGCCTCGCGCACCACCCCGCTCAGCCACGCCCGCCGCGACTCGCTCCACACCTGCACCGCGTCCCCTGCCGAGAAGCGCGGGACCACCGGGCGCGGGCCTGCGCGGGGGGGGGGGTCCCATGGGTACAGATGGGGATCACAGGAGATGGAGGGACAGTAGATGAGGAAGAGGAGGACGAGGAGGAGGAGGAGGAGGAGGAGGAGGAGGAGGAGGAGGAGGAGGAGGAAGACGAGGACGAGGAGGACGAGGAGGACGAGGAGGACAGGAGGAGGAGGCGGGGAGGAGGAGGAGGAGAGAGGGAGGAGGAGGGAGGAGGACGAGGAGGAGGAGGAGGAGGGGGGAGGAGGAGGGGGAGGGGGAGAGGAGGGGGAGGAGGAGGAGGAGGGATGAGGAGAAGGAAGGATGAGAAGGATGAGGGACAGAGGGGGGTACAGCAGACAGAAACGGCTTGGGGCACATTATTCGTCCGTCTTTGCGGGTCCTAGGGTACCCCCAGAGTCGTGCGGGTCCCTGAGGGAGAAGAACTTTCCGTGGGGCCTGCCTGCTGGCAGGCCGATTTATGATTCGATGTGCCTACTGTCTGAGAGTAGGGAAGGAAAGGAGGGGGCAGTGGATGAGAAAGAGAGGGAGGATGCAGGAGGACGAGGACGAGGACGAGGACGAGGAGAAGGAAGAGAAAGGAGGAGGAGAAGGAGGAGGAGGATGAGTATGAGAAGGGGGAGGGGAGAAAGGGTGCGATGGCGGAGGATGGTGGTGGTGGCGGTGGCGGTGGTGGTGGTGGTGGTGGTGGTGAGGAGGAGGAGGAGGAGGAGACGAAGGAGGAGGAGGATGAAAAAGGAGGATGAGCGAGGGGTCTCCCTCCTCCAAACTTGACTGTCCCCTCACCTGCACCATAATTGGCGCACCCTCATCCCACTATCTTCCTCTTCGCCTTACCCCTCCTCGGACTCCTTCAGGGCCTCCTCCTCCGCCTCCCTTCCTACTCCCCTCCTCCTTCCTCGTCCTTCCGCCTTGCTCACATCTCTCCTCGATTCCTCCTCCCTGATTCTCTCCCCCCCGCCGCTCCATCGACCTCCTTCCCGTCCTCCCGCTTCTCCCTTCTCTCCCTTCTCGACCTCCTTCCCGTCCTCCCGCTTCTCCCTTCCCTCCCTTCCCTCCCCTCTCTCTCCCGCTCCCCTCCCGTCTTCCCGCCCTCCCCACTCTGCCCCCTCCCCCCTCCCCCCACTTCCGCATCACCCGGCCCCCGCCCCTCCCCTCCCCGGGCGTGCGCGGGCCGGCAGCGGCAGCCCCCCGCCCAGGCCGACCTCCCGATCGCGCCACCCCACGGGTCGAGGGCAACCCGCGCAGGGAAGCCCCAAGCGTGCGTCCTGACTTTCTCAGTGCGGGGCCCCTGGAAAGTCCGGACCCTTTCCCCAGGGTCGGTCTTTCCCGCCGCGTCGTTCCTTGATGGTCCCGGGGCCCGGCGAGGGCCGCCCCCAGAGGCCGCCAACGGCCCAACGACCGCCCGTCCTTCGCTGCCTGGGCACGCGCCACACGCCGCACGCGGCACGCAGCGTGTTCTTGCACGGAGCTCCACTTAAATGGTCGACTGACGCCGCAGGTCTGGCGCGATGCCCTCGCCCAAGACGCGCGGACCAGCACGTGTGCCGAGCCGGCACGCGGCGTGCCGACGTGGGCGCCTGGAGCACGGCACGTGTGGCGCTTCAGCACGGGCGAATCGGGGCAACGAAACGTAAGTCGGGCCTGTCCCCCCACAGGGGGATTTTCGACGAAACATGAAAATACCCTACAAATAATCAAACAAATAGTCCAAAAATAGCCAGGGGACTATTTTTTATTTAGTATGTTTGACCCTTTTGGAATATTTTTGGGGTATTTTATATTCTTCGTCGAAAATCCCCCTGTCGGGGGACAGGCCCGACTTAAAACTAAACTCCCGTCGTACGTGTTCCACGACGCGGGCACTTCTTTGGGGATCTACTGGCCCGGGTCAATGCAAGCCAGGGTCAGTCAAGCTCTGCAAAATCCTGCAAGGTCCTGCGCGCCAGCCCGGGACACTGCGACCCGGCCTCTGCAGGATCCTGCAGAAGATCCAGCGCCCTGGCTGACCCCCGCTTGCCTGGATCCTGTTCTCAAGGCCCCGTCTTCTGGGGTCTGGAGGAGGAGGAGCAGGAGGAGCAGGAGGAGCAGGAGGAGCAGGAGGAGGAGGAGGAGGAGGAGGAGGAGGAGGAGGAGGAGGAGGAGGAGGAGGAGGAGGAGGAGGAGAACGCGCGCGGTGCCGTGCCAGCGCGGACGGCGCGTCGCCCTGCCTCGCTCGGCGGCGAGCGAGGGGGGGAGGCGAGAGGGGGCGGGCCTTCTCAGAAGGCTCGGAAGTCCCCCCAGCCTCCTGAGAAGCTTCCCAGGCCTTCCCCGAAGACAGAGAGAACACTTCTCAGAAGGCGCGAGGGCTCCTGAGAAGTCCCGCCGCCTTCTGAGAGGGCCTTCTCCTTCTCATTTCTCCCCCCCGCTCGCAGCCGATTCGCGGGACGGGAAGCTGGTAAAAGCTCGGGACGCCGACGCCCAGGAGCGGGGACGTGGTTAGCGTTGGGTCGGGCACGTCCTTCTACAGGCGGATTTTGGACGGAAACTTAGAAAACCGTCAACAAACAGTCAAGAGCAGCCAAACATAATAGAAGCATCGCCCCCTGACTATCTTCTTACTATTTTCCAATATTCCTCCTGTAGAGGGGCACGCCCGACTTCAGGTTGGCGTTCTTCGCGCCGGGGCGCGGTGGGCCAGAACTGGCGGCGCGACGCGCGGAGCAGGCGCTCCTGGCCGCAGGCGCGTGCAGCGAGAAGCTCTGCTGCGCAGGGCTTCCGGGGGTACACGTCCCATCGGCACTCGGCCTCCGTGTCCCGCGTGCCCCATTTGGACGCCCGAAATGGGTACGGAAAGAATGGGTACAATGCCCAACAGCAGTTCCTGCTCATTCCGAACAGGACTCGCTGTCCGTGTCGCCGCGGCCTGTGTCCATTTGAGACAGACGGCCGCCTGCCCAACAGCGGCCGCTGTTGGCTTGGGACAACATTTGTGGTTGGGCATTGTGCCCATTGTCTCCGTGCCCACTTCGGGTGTCCAAACCCGAGGGTTCCCCCCCGCGAAGCCCAGACGTCGTGGCCTGTGATAACATGGGCCCCCCGAGGCCTGGGCCCCTTCCCCGGGTCCCCTCTTGTCGTCCCGCGTCGGGCATCTTCTGGCCTGGGTCAGTCCAGGCCCGGGGCAGTCAGGCCCTGCAGGATCCTGCAAGAGCCTGCGCCCAAGCCCGGGTCAGTGCGAAGGATCCTGCAAGCTCCTGCAGGATCCTGCGCCCAAGCCCGGAACAGTGCGACCCTGGCCCTGCAGGATCCTGCAAGATCCCGCGCTCTGGCTGACCCCCGTTTGCATTGACCCCCGTCTCTGGAGCCCCGACCGCATCGTGACTTGGCGGTCCTGGGGCCCGGTACCCCCCTCCAGAGGCAGACCAGAGAGGAGCAGAGCGTTCGTTCTTGACGCGAGGGGGTCTGGGTCGGGGGAGCATAAGAGTGAGGTCGGGCGTGTCCTCCTACAGGGGGGTTTTGGACGAAGAATGAAAACTGATAGAAACACATAATCCAAGACGGATAAAAATGATCGAGAAATCGTTCCCAGACTATCTTGGACTAGTTTTGAATATTCCTCCTGTAGAAGGACGTACCCGACTTAACATAAGAATCCCAAGGGGCACCTGCCGGCAGGCCCGTTTCTGGTGTCGATCTGCCAGCTGCATTGACGCAGGCCGTCTTCTGCGGGCCCTCGGGGTATGGGGAGGGAAGGGCGGGGTGGATGGGGAGGGGACCCCATCGTCCTCCTCTGCTTCCCCGTCAACCCTTTTGCCATTGTTCTGTTATGCCTCCTCCTCTTACTCAACCTCACCCTCCTCCTCCTTCTCCTTCTCCTCCTCCTCCTCCTCTCCTTCCTCCTCTCCTCCTCCTCTCCCTCCTCCACTCCCTCCTCCTCTCCCTCCTCCTCCTCCTCCTCCTCTTCCTCCTCCTCCTCCTCCTTCTTCTCCTTCTCCTTCCCCTCCTCCTCCTCTTCCTCCTCCCCCTCCTCCTCCCTCCTCCACTCCCTCCTCCTCTCCCTCCTCCTCCTCCCTTCCTCTTCCTCCTCCCTCCTCCTCCTTCTTCTTCTCCTTCTCCTTCTCCTCTCCCTCCTCCTCCTCCTCCTCCTCCTCCTCCTCCTCCTCCTCCTCCTCCTCCTCCTCCTCCTCCCCCTCTTCCTATTGTCAGCGGTCTTTTGCCCAATGGTTTAAGAGCCATTTGCACAGAGCATGCGAAGCTTTCTAACACCCGAAGAGAATACCTCTGAAGGTTAGATCACGGGCTCTGGCCGAAGGCGGGCGCCCGAGCTCAGCAGGCATGGAGAGCTAAGGGCAGCTCATGACAGAGGAAATCGCTTCATGATGGCGTCCGCTCCACTCCGCTCCGCCTTTGTTGCTGTTTTGTCATGCCGCGTCCTGCGTCTCCTTTTCAACCTATCCCTCCTTCTCCCCCTCCTCCTCCCTCCTCCTCCCCCTCCTTCTCCCTCCTCCTCCTCCTCCTCCTCCTGGCCATGGCCCTCGATGCTCGAACACAGCTGGGTTCAAAGCGCAGTTCGCCAGCCTTGGGGGGCGCGGATGCCCGCTCCAGAGAGGTCCCCCCCTCCTCCCCAACCTCCCAGGAGGGGAGAACACACACACGCACAGACACAATTAATCGTCGATTCACAAGAAAAATATGGGAAACTATGGGAAGTGAGGGGGACGACGACCACCCTGGAACTCGAGGGAAATATATATATATATATATATATATATGGGGAATCCTGGGATTTGTGACTATCTATTTGTGTGCCCCTGGGCCCCTTCTCCTCGAGCGTAGCCGAGGCGCCGCGAGTCCTGCCTGGGTCAAGCCGCACGCCCGGCCGAACAGCAGGGCAACCTTTCGGAGTGGAGGCGGGGCTGTCGGGAGGACAGCCTTGGCCTGAGACGTAGAAGCCTCTCCCTCCTCGACCTCCTCCTCGACCTCCTCCTCGACCTCCCTCCTCCTCGACCTCCCTCCTCGACCTCCCTCCTCCCCCTCCTCGTCCTCCTCCTCCTCCTCCTCGACCTCCCTCCTCCTCGACCTCCCTCCTCCTCCTCCTCCTCCTCCTCCCTCCTCCTCCCTCCTCCTCCTCCTCCCTCCTCCTCCTCCTCCTCCCTCCTCCTCCTCCTCCTCCTCCTCCTCCTCCTCCTCCTCCTCCTCCTCCTCCTCCTCCTCCTTCGCTGACGGCGGCGGCCGCGATGACGACGGCGCCCGCCAGCAGCGGACGCGCCGGCCTGCCGAGCTGCAGGAAGAGGCCGCGGCCCCGTGGAGCCCGCTGGGCGGGGGCTGCCGCAGCAGCTGCGGCGCCCTGTGGCCGCCGCCGCCGCCGTCGCCGTGGCCGCCGCCGTGGCCGTGCTCGCCGTGGTGGGCGTCGTGGTGGTGTCGCGGGCGTGGCCGTCGGCGTCGCTTTGGTGGTTGTCACGGTGGCAGTCGTGGTGGTGGTGGCGGTGGTGGTGGTGGTGGTGGTGGTGGTGGTGGTAGTCGTCGTCGTCGTCGTCGTCGTCGTCGTCGTCGTCGTCGTCGTCGTCGTCGTCGTCGTCGTCGTGGTTGGCGTCGTCGCGGTCGGCGTCGCGGTCGTCGTGGTCGTGTCGCCGCGCACAGAGCCAGAAGCTGGCCGGCCCAACGCCCCTACCACCACAAGCCCCCACCACCGCCTCTCGCCGCGAAAGAATCACGACGGGAAGCTTTGGGCCATTGTCGGCCACCGGGGGCCCTCACTGGGCCCTGGGACCGTCAGCAAAACGACTCGGGATGAGAAACTTGTCCCGGGGAAGGGGTCTAGAACTCTGGGGGTCCACGTTGTGAACAAATCACGACGTCGGAGATCTGGGGCCGCCTACCTTGAGATCCTGGTGTTTCAATTTTTCCGCAACAAGCGATGTTGCCGCAACTCGGGCCCTAGGGCCCTCACGGACCGGTAATGCTCGAGAATGCAACAGGACGATGAGGTCAAGAGCTCTGGACGTTTTTTTTTGCGATGTTGTTTTTTCCGTGACGTGAGATCTCAGGGCGCCCCCCACAGGCGCACAGAGTGGGAAGGGAGGGAAGATGGCGAGAAGGATGACGAGGGAGAAGTTAGTTTCAGAAGGATGCAGAGGGAAAGCACGATCAATCCACACGATCGCAGTCGTCTGTGTCGTCGGCGTCGTCTGTGACGTCGTTGTGGTGGTCGTCGTGGTCGTCGTGATAGTCGTCGTAGTGGTCTCCGTCGCGGTCATCGCCATCGTCGTTGTCGTCGTGGTCGTGGTGGTGTTGGTGGTCATCACGGTGGTGGTCGTCGTGTTCGCCAGGGTCGTCGTCGTCATCGTGTCGTCGTGTTGGATGCTGTAGTGGTTGTAATGGTGATCATGGTTGTGACGGTAATCGTGGTCGTCGGGGTGGTCTTCGTCGCGGTCGTCGTGGTCTTCGTCGAGAGCCCGGTCGTCTCCGCGGTCGACGTCATCATCGGAGGGGCAGGAGGCGGGACTAGAGTAGACTCAACATGCATCAAAAGCTGCGCTCATCCGTCGCTCTGGGCATCGCCATGACCAGGCTGAGCAAGACATGCTCTTGCGACGTGCACCGGGGCACGCGCCCCAACTCCAATCCGAAAGCTCCGCCCGATGGCATGCTGGTCAACGTCGTTCCCCCCTGCCCCAAGCCAGCACAACAACTCCGCGCACAGACCTTTGACGTCGTGATTTCTTCACAGCGTCGACCCCCAGAGGTTTGGACCTCTTTCCCAAGACCAAATTTTCATCCTGAACTGTTTTTTGACGGTCCCGAGGCCCGGTAAGGGCCCGCGGAGGCCGAAAATAGCGAAAAAAACCCAGCCGCGACTCCTGGCCCAGCGACCCTGGCCTGGTCCAGTACAGCCCGCACCACAAGGACGCGCGACAAGGATGCGAGGGCCTTCGACGCCTATTTCGAAGCTTCTCGAGCGGAGCGCGGCCAGCGAGAGTGGCCAAGGATGGACCGATGGGGGCAAGGACGCAAAGGGTACCCTTGGGAAGGTTGCCCATCCCCACCATGCGGGTCGACCGCACCCCCACACGCGCCACCGCCCAAGAAGCCCAGAGGGCCCCGCCATCTGCGACTCCCCCACGCCAGCTGAAGTCCCTCATGTCGAACGAAGCCAGACCAACCCACGGCACCCGGACCAGGCGCACGCAGCGCCACGCAACGCGCCGCGACACGGTGCCCCGCGCCGTGTGCTGCCGTGCGAGACACCACGACCGCGGATCCGCCTACCTCGTGCCACACAACTTTGGTATCGCATGCGCTAGCGACAGCCAAGCCAAATGCAACTGCCAAATGGCGCCGAGAGTGGCAAGGCTTGCCTGGTGTCGTGCGGTGCGGTTCTGTGTCCCAGACATGCGACGTCCTGATTTTTTCAGGACGGCGTCCCCAGATGTCCAGACCCGTTCCCCAGGGCCGGTTTTTCATCTTGAGTCGTTTCTTGACTGTCCTGGCGCCCGGCGAGGGCCCCCAAGGGCCGAAGATCGTGAACAACTTGCGGTCCTGACTTTTTTACGATGCGATCATGTCTGGGCTGGCGTCGTCTGAACTCTTCGGTTGCCCAGTGCCAAGCTGTGGTGCCGTGCCGTGTGGCGGCGTGCGGGTTGTCACAAGGTTCGGGGGCGGCCAAGAGGGGGGGGTCCAAGAGGGGGGGGGACAAACTCATGGCCAGCGGCATGTGCGCGGCCCAGGAGGGGGGGGGGGGGCAGGGACGTAAAGAAATAAGAACAGGCGCCATGGAATCTGTGGAATGGCCCCCCCCCATGATATCCCCCCCCCCCCTGGTCATCACCCCCCTCTTGGCCGCACGAGGTTGGATGTGACAATCCGTGTGCCGTGCCAAGCGGTGCCGTGCGCGTCGCCACGGGGCCGGGCAGTGCTGCCCGGGCCGCTCGGTGCAGCGCTGTGTGCAGCTCCAGAACAGGCTCATAGCATCCGCAGCCTAGGGAATCTCTGCAGGTTGCCAGGTGGATGCACGAGCCACGAGCTCAACTGGGAATCATGGGTACACATACATATATACATATGTACATATATATATATATATAGAGAGAGAGAGAGAGAGAGAGAGAGAGAGATAGAGAGAGAGAGAGCGAGAGAGCGAGAGAGAGAGAGAGAGAAAGAGAGAGAGAGAGAGAGAGAACAAGAGAAAGGGAGAGAGAGAGAGAGACAGAGAGAGAGAGAGAGAAACAAAGAGGGATACATAGACAGAGAGACAGAGAGACAGAGAGACAGAGAGAAAGAGAGAAAGAGCGCGCATACTTTGGAAATGAGTGCCAACTGAGGCAGCCAACACGCATTGTGATTGCGTAACAAGGCCAAGCGGATAATGAATTGAGACACGAGACAAGGGCGCTGGATCAACAAAACAGGAGCGCCTTTCTGGCAATACCCACTTCACGCCCGACGCGGAAACAACCTGCAATAACAGATAATGGATAAACGGAGCCGCCGCTCGTTCTGTTCCCGTCCGCCACGTAGACAACTGAACCAACTCATTGGTCGGCGCTGATACTTTCTACTGGATTTGATGCCGACAGAAGACAACTCTTCGAGGACCAGGCCACTTCGAAGACACCGAACATGCGAACATGCGTTACTTGCAAGTCTATACGGATTTGCACGTGCTGCTGTCAAGGTGCGGAAATATCATGCTTAACACGTGCGGAGGAGAACACACACATCAGTCAGCAAATGCCAGCTACATGAAACCAAGCCTCAACATCGCCGCCCGTGAGCGCGGCCATGATCCCATGTCAACCCACAGGCACAGGATGTGCAACCAGCCACGCCCTGACACGTCACCCCACGAATCAACACAGCGCGCAGCCCATGCGTCTGGCCCCGGGCATCTCTGGCTGGGCGATGCGCGCGGCACTCTCGTCGGCCAACGTGGCATCAACAGCGCATGCCTGCACGCTGCTGGCTCTGCGCTCCCTCCCTCCCCTCACCTTGTCTCCTTTCTCCTCCCCTCCCCCTCGCCGCGTGTCGCCCGGCCGCCACTGGCCCCGCACCCGTCGGGGAGGGGGACTACATAATTTTACTTTCGGAAGCCGAACTCGGCTTCACAAAACACGCAACTCTCCATGTGCTTTGTGTTGAGCTGGAGCCGACCCTCCCGGCATTCCTGCACGCCTACCACGACATTTTGTGAACCCTACAACGTTCCAGTAACAAAAGCCATGCGTGTTCTTAGAACAGAAGCCCGATGTGATAAAACAAGACAGACTCAACCAACAATGGTTTGAACATATTCCGTGCAGACCACATTAAGGCTCTCAAAACCTTCCTTCGTGGGCCTACACGTAAGCCAGGACGCTTCGCCACTGCTCAATTCTGGCCGCCGAGCTCGACCAACAGGTATTTTTTCCGTCGGCGGCTGGGCAGAGGCAGCCCGCACCAGCGCGGCGCTGATCGGGGCAACCGATGGCAAATTGTCCTGTGCGCAAAGGAGAGAGCGGCGAAGACGAGGGCGGCCGCGTGAAGGCGGGAGGGAGAGGGCGCTCCGACGTGGAAACGTTCCGCGGTGAGCGGGCCGGAGCGGCCAGCCAGGGCAGCGGGGACCGCGGCAGCAGCCAGGGAGCCAACATGCACACCCAGACATGCGACGTCCTGTTTTTTTTCAAGACGGCGTCCCTGGAAGTCCCGACCCTTTCTCCGGGACCAGTTTTTTGTCCTGAGTCCTTTTTTGACGGCCCCGAGGCCCAGCGAAGGCCCCCCGAGGCCGAAGGTAGCCGAAAACCTCCCGTCCGGATTTTTTCACGACGCGATCATGTCTGGGCTGGGCACACGACCTCCGCTCCCCGCCGCCCCGTGGACTGGCGGCCGCCGCGGCGGCCCGCGCCTGTCCATGGGCCGGAGCCGAGCAGCGGACACGGCCCGCCCCACGGCGTGCGGGACGGATATGTGCCGGGCCCCTCTGCCGCCGACCCCCCCCGGCTGCCAGCATCTGGCCTGCCGCGCGGCCCCGCATCCGGCCCCCTCCTCTCGAACGTGACAGAGGGCCGTTGCAGTCGGCCCGTGCGGTAGAGGAAAACAAATTGTGAACACTCCCCCGCCCCCCAAAACTCAAAGCTGGCACGCGTGGGGAAGACTGCGGTCGAAGTGCAACTCATCGAACCCACCGCCAACATTGATAATTGTGGGGGACATATTGATAGACGAATGCGGCATGAGCGTTCGCTAATTTTCCCGAGGCCTGTATCATAAGGATGCGTGATAAGGATGCAAGGGCCTTGGATGGCCATGCCGAAGCTTCTCGAGCGGGGCGCGGGCGACGAACATGGTGGCCAATGATGGACCGAGGAGGCAAGGATGCAAGGGTAACCTTGGGAAGGTCGCCCATCCCTGTTGTGCGGGTCGACTGTAAAAGGGGGGGGGGGGGCAATCGGGGAGGAACATGGCCCCGGAATCGGCGATGCGTCGCCGATGGATCGGCGGCAGGCCCCCGATGGAGCGAATCCGCACTCTCCTGGGCGGGCTGGGAGCGACATCGGGCACCCGTCGGCGATCACTGGGCGACGATGCGGGTCGATGCGTCCGCCCCCGAGCCAATCCCCTCGCGCGTGGTCCCTGAAAACCAGCCGACATGAGGGGAGCCCTCTGGCCTCCAGCGAAGGCCGTCCGGGCCCGATCGGGATGCGCCGGCACTTCTGTTGCTCCCATCGCACTTGGCGACCGGATCCCAGAAATCATTCCGAGCATCCCGACAAGTATCGAAGCAGTGTCGAACGAGCGTCGCCTCCCAGAGCCTGACACGCGCAAGCCCTCCAGCTTCGGTATCTCCTTGATGCTCGAGATTCTTTCTGGTGATTCAGGCTAAAGCAGGTTGGAACATCATACAGTCGGGGCGTTGATCTAAGGAACCCTAAATAAGGAACGAGGCCCCTTTTTTCCATAAGTTAACCTTCGATTTCCTGTCGGAAACATAAGGAAAGCCTGAGGCAAGCTGTGAAACACGTAAGGAACGCGGAGCCCCTCCCCAACGAGAAGGGTTTTTTCTTCAGCGCCCCGACTGTAAGACTGCACACCTTTTGCCGTAGGCGGCGAGGCAGAACTGCTGCACCGGCGGAAGAGCTCAGCGGGGACGCCGAGGAGCGCATGGCCCAGCGCGTGCCCGAGGGGAGACTGCGACAGACGGGGCGGCCGCGGAGGACGAGCCTGCACACCCTGGCCATCGCTCGGACGTCCACTTCCGGTGCTTTTTTCGGTTTCGTGCGTGGTTTTGACGCGAAATGATCAAGGATGCTCCTCGATGGACCTCGCCGAAGGAAGACTGCACACGTCCGAGCGCTGCCAAGCTACCTCCTCCTCGGCGCACCCTCGCGCTCCCTGGATGCGGCGGGCTGGAGCCCGCGCGGCTGCGGAGGGAGGCACCCGAGCGCGCAGCAGCACTCCCAGCCGGGGGGGGGGAAGTGAGAGGGGGCCGGCCTTCTCAGAAGGCTCGGAAGGCCCCCAGCCTTCTGAGAAGCTTCCCGAGCCTTCCCCGAAGACGCAGACAACTTCACGGAAGGCAGGAGGCCTTCCGCGAAGCCCCGCCGCCCTCCGAGAAGGCCTCCTCCTTCTCGTTTCCCCCCCCTCGCTCGCCGCCGAGTCTGGCACCAGGCGTCTCCCCTACTTCCCTCCAGCCCCCGCGCCTTGACAGTCCCGGCGGGCACCAGGAAGCCGTCACGGTGCGTCGGGGAGGAGAAGGCCTCGCCGACGACGGCGTCGAGCCACGTCAGGTGCGTGTCGCTCCAGACCTCCGGGCGGGCGGCCCAGGGTGGGGCGCGCGCGCGCGCAGCGCGGAGAGAAAACGACGGCATGCCAGTACATCTTCAAGGAGGAGGAGGCGGAGGAGGAGAAGGATGATGGGGAAGGAGGGGAAGGAGGATGATGAGGAGGAGGAGGACGAGGAGGAGGAGGAGGGGGAGGAGGAGGAGAAGGAGGAGGAGGAGGAGGAGGAGGAGGAGGAGGAGTAATTAGGAGGAGGACGAGGATGAGGAGGAGGGGGAGGATGCGCGTTTCACAGGTGGGGCCCCGAGACATGGGGTCTTTGGGCGAGGGGGCTCGGATCACTGCACTGCAAACTCCACCTGGAAAAGCCCCCTTCCCGATCCTCGGCCCATCCCTCTGACTGCTCGAGGTAGATCGGGCGGTGCCTGTCATCCCTCTGGGCCTCCTCTCCGAGACCCCCCCGGCGCGGGGCCGCGACCGCACGACCTCGAGACACCGCGGCAACTACCGACCGCCGCGCAGGTCGGGAGAGGACGCCCGGCAAGCCGGGAGAACGCCACGCCTGCCGGCGGGATGAGCACGCCCAAGCGCCGCGCCCCACACCGCGCGACGCGCCGTCCCCCGCGCGCCCTCGCGGGCGCCCCCTCGGGAAACAGGACGCCCCCTGCAGCCCAGACCGCGGCGCGCGGTGCCCCTCGCGCCCCTGCGGGCGACCTGGGCAAGAACGAGGGGGGGGAGCCTCCTCCTCCTCCTCCTCCTCCTCCTCCTCCTCCTCCTCGTCCTCCTCCTCCTGCTGCTCCTCCTGCTCCTCCTTCGTCCTCCTCCTCCTCCTCCTCCTTTTCCTCCTCTTCCTCCTCCTCCTCCTCCTCCTCCTCCTCCTCCTCCTCCTCCTCCTCCTCCTCCTCCCCTCTCCCCCCACCATCGTCGGCCAGGGAGAGAGGGCGGTGTGGAGCGCCCGCGGGGCGGGGCGTGGGGAACCGGTGGCAGGGGAGAGAGAAGGCCGCGAGGCACCAATTCCTGGAGGCCTCGCGCGCCTACTGTTGAGACCCGTGCCCCCTCTCGCACCCACGCCGATGATGCACGTCGAGAGCCATATCGCCGCTCGAGAACGTCGCCCGATCTCCGACAGGGGCGGGCGCGTGGACTGGACAGCACAGCTGCTGCGCGCCGCGCGCGAGGCCTCCGGGCTTCCCCCCCCCTTCGACCTCCTCCTCGACCTCCCTTCTCCTCCTTCCTCCTCCTCCTCCTCCTCCTCCTCCTCCTCCTCCTCCTCCTCCTCCTCCGGGCTTCCCCCCCCCCTTCGACCTCCTCCTCGACCTCCTCCTTCTCGACCTCCCTCCTCCTCCTTCCTCTTCCTCCTCCTCCTCCTCCTCCTCCTCCTTCCTCGTCCCCCTCCTCCTCCTCCTCCGCCTCCTCCTCCTCCTTCTCCGCCTCCTCCCCCCCCTCTCGCAGGCCGGGGGGTGGGGCAGGGAGGGAGGCAGAGAGCGAGGCAGGGCGGGAGGCTCCCCTGAGGGGGCCCAGGGACACACACACACAAACAAATACACAGACACACACACACAAATACACAGACACACATCCCAGGGTCCCCCACACATCTTTTCCAGACTTTCGGGGTGTTTTCGTCCTCCCCCCCCCCAACTTCCAATCCTGTTCCCGCATGTTCCCGGGAGTCGACGATTCACAGTGTCTGCGTGCTTCTTCCCCTCCGCTGAACCCTGGCTCCCTTTTCTCAGGCGAGCTCTTGGGCCTCGAGGGCCCGACGCGTCGGGCAGCCCGGGCGCGAGCGGGCCCCAGCTGCAAGCGCGGCGCCTCCTCGACCCCCTCCCTGCGGCGCTGAGGTCGGCAGAGGCGGAACGACACCACCCCACCTGCGGCACCGGGGGCCTCAGCGTATACCAGAACATCTGGCGTGGGTTTTTGCGTGGTATACGCTACAGTTGGGGCGTTGACCTAAGGAACCCTAAATAAGGAACGGGGCCCCTTTTCTCGAGAAGTTAAACTTCGATTTCCCATCGAAAACCTCAGCAAAACCAAAGGCGAACTGCAAAACAACTAAGGAACACCGAGCCCCTCCCCAACGAAAAGGGTTCCTTCTCCAGGGCCCCGACTGTACGGCGCCCGATGGGCCGTAGCGCAGCATGGAGGGCCGTGGGTGGGGTGGTGTCGTTTGGTTCTCGGTCGATTCAAGAAGTCTCCGACCCAACCCCTCCCACACACAGGATAGCCCAGAATCGAATCGATACGTCGGATCGGCGATCGAACAAAAATCGGATCGGCGGACATCGGCCGCCGAGTCGGGAAACGTCGACTCGGTAGACATCGGCAGGCTAGGAGGCTTCCACACAGAAATCGGATCCCAAATCGGAATCCCAAGTTGAATCGCATCAGAGTCGGAATCCGTCAAAATCGAGTCGAATCGAGTCGGGGGAATCAAAATGAGCCCTGCACACATCCTCGCATCACACCACATCTGGGGAAACCAAAAGGTACCGATACCGCTATTTACTCCCCAGACCTATCCCGTGGTGCGCTCTGACCAAGATTTCGAGGCGAATCCGGCAATGACGACGAGAGCCCCCCGGGAGGCCCGAACAGGGGAAAACGGGCGGAGGGTTGCGGCATGGGTACCTTTTCCTCCTCTGATCCTCGCATCACACCACATCCTCGCCCCCTCAAGACGCTAGCTTTAGGTCGGGCATGCCCCACTACAGGCGGACTTTGGACGAACAGGGAAAATAGTCAAAACATGTGGTTCAACAGTAATGAGAAATAGTAGGACAACTCGTCCCCAGACTGTGCTTCGACTATTTTTCGAAATAGCCCTCCTGCAGGGGGACCTGCCCGACGCAACGCTGCAGCGACGCGGCCGCCCTGGCTTCCGCCCCAGACCCCCGACGTCGTGATGTTTTTTGCAACGTCGAACCCCCCAGAGGTCTGGACCCCTTCCCTGGGACCGGCTTTTCATCCTGAATCGTTTTTTTTGGACACCCGAAATGGGTACGGGAAAAAAGGGTACAATGCCCAACAACAAATGTTGTCTAGAACCGACAGCGGCCGCTGTTGGGCAAACGGCGCTCTGTCTCCAAAGAATCACGTCCGCGGCGGCGCGAACAACAAGTCCGGTTCGACATGAACAGGCACTGCTGTTGGGCCTCGTGCCCATTCTTTTCATACGCCCATTTCCATCGCCCCGATCTCTGACGGCCCCGAGGCCTGGCATCGGGAGCGGCCAAGAGGGGCGTGTCCAAGAGGGGGGGGTGCAAATCATGACCGGCGGCATGTGCGCGGCCCAGCGGGGGGGGCTAGGGACGTAATGAAACAAGAAGAGGCGCCACGAAATCTGGGGAAATATCATGGCCCCCGCCATGATATTCACCCCCCCCTAGTCATCACCCCCCTCTTTTCTGCTCCCGACATTCTTTCCATATGCCCATTTCCATCGCCCCGATCTCTGACGGCCCCGAGGCCTGGCAGGGCCCCCCCCCCCCCCCTCGGAGGCCGGAACGCAGCGAGAGAACCCCCCCCGCGTCGTGCCTCTCCCACGGCGCGAGGGGGTCATGGGGCCGCCCCGCCCCCCCCCGGGCGGAGGAGCGGCGGCCTGGACCCGGGCGCCCGGCGACAGCCACGGGGGCGGTCCGTGGGGGTCCTCGGCCGGGCCGCCCTCGGGCAGCGGGAAGGTGCAGCTCGGCACCGCGAGGCCTGCCGGGCGCGCGGCGCGCGGCGCGCGGCGCCGGGAGGTCTTTTGCAATTCTGGGGCACGGCGCGCGGCGCAACGTCGGCGCGATGTGGGGGCTCTCGCGGGAGGACGTCGGAGCAGGGTCAGGTCGGGCATGTGCCCCTAGAGGCGGAGTTTGGACGACAGAGCAGCCATGGTCAACAAGTGTGCAAGAATAGTCAACAGTAGTCAAAAAAAGGGCCCCAGACGATTTTGTGACTATGTTTGAATTTTCCTCCTGTAGGGGAACATGCCCGACTGAAGGGTGGGGCTCCTGACACATCTGCACGCGGTGGCAACAAACACCGGCGGAAGGCTTTGGGCCGTTGGCGACCTCCAGGGGCCCGTGCCAGGCCCTGGGGCCGCCAACAGAAACGACCCAGCACGAACAAAAACTGGTGCTGGGGAGCGGGTCTGGGCCCCTTTGGGGGCCACAGGCACGCAGACAGACAGACAGACAGACAGACAGACAGACAGACAGACAGACAGACAGACAGACAGACAGACAGACAGGACAGGACAGGACAGGACAGGACAGGACAGGACAGGACAGGACAGGACAGGACAGGACAGGACAGGACAGGACAGGACAGACACACACACAGACACACAGAAATAACCCGTGCGCAAGAGTCTGCGCGAGGAGACTGAGCGGGTTGGGGGCCAGAGCGCCCCAGGAGACATACTACATGCGCTTTCCTGCGAACGTGGCAATTCGCCCGACACTTCTGCAATACAAAGTGAGCGAAACTTGCATCTGCCAGCTGCCTCAAGAGAGAGGGCGCGCTAGGGTCAGTTCGGGCGTGTCCTCCTACAGGCGGATTTTGGATGAAAAAAGCAAAATAACAAGAACAAGTTCAAATATGTTCAAAGATTGTAGAAAACTCGCCGCCAGACAATTTCTTTTAAACAATTTTCAAATATTCCTCCTGTGTAAGGACATGCCCGACTTAATGCTTGGGGAAGGAGGGAGGGACGCACGACGGGCGAGGACGCACGTGGTGGAACAGTCACGACGCCAGCTGTCTGACTGAGGCCCGCGGCGGGACGAGGCCGTGGCACGTCGGGGGCACCGGCGTCGGCAGTGCAGGGTCCTGGGCACGGCCAAGGGCTGGTCCAGGTCTGGGCTTCAGTCGGGCGTGTCCCTCTACAGGAGGAAAATTCAAAAATAGTCATCAATAGCCAGGGAACGTTTTTTTTTTTTTTTTTTTTTTTTTTTTTTTTTTTTTTTTTTTTTTTTTTTTTTTTTTTTTTTTTTTTTTTTTTTTTTTTTTTTTTTATATATATATATATATATATATATATATAGATGTGTATCGGTTTATAGGTTTTGGATTTTCGTCCAAAATCTCCCTGAATAGGGACACGCCCGACGTAAGTCTGGGCTGATTCGGCGGCCGGGCGCAGGCAGGGTGGGGCTTCGAGGCGGCGTGGCCGCACAGGCCGGGAGCTGAGGAACACGCAGCGGCACAAACACAAACTTTCGGAGAGGAGCGCGAACGTTAATGTGTATTCTGTTCTTTTGTCTTCGATGCCAGGGACCTGGTCGCGGGCAAGACACAAGAGGTGCACAAGGCAAGCAGGACAAATCCCTCCGACTCCCGTGCCCTGCGTGCCCCCTCCGCCCCTCCTTCCGCTTCCCCTTCTCCTTTCCCTCCACCCTTCCGCTTCCGCTTCTGCTCTTGCCGCTTCCCTTCCCGCTGTCCTTCCGTGTTCTCTCCCCCCTTTCCCTCTCTGGCCACCGCCCTCCTCCTCGTCCTCGTCCTCGTCCTCGTCGTCCTCGTCGTCCTCGTCGTCCTCGTCGTCCTCGTCGTCCTCGTCGTCCTCGTCGTCCTCGTCGTCCTCGTCGTCCTCGTCGTCCTCCTCCTCCTCCTCCTCCTCCTCCTCCTCCTCCTCCTCCTCCTCCTCCTCCTCCTCCTCCTCCTCCTCCTCCTCCCCCCCTTCCGCTCTTCGACGCCCCGCTCTCCCCTGGGCTGGTCCGTTTTTTGCTCCCGCCGCCCGGACCTCGCCGGGGAGGTCCACTGGGGCCCGGCGGAGGCCTCCGGAGGCCCGGCACGGGCCAAGCGCACGCTCGACGGAAGCCTCTGCCCCTGGGCCCTCGGCGTGTCGAGGGCGCGCCGTGGCACCTCGCCGCCGGCCCCGCGGCCCCGCCGCGTCTCCCCCCGCGCCTCGCGCCTCGCGCGCCCCTCCCCCCTCCTTCCCCCTCGTCATCGCTCGGACGTCCAGCCCCCGCGTTTTTTTTTGGCTTAGTGCGTTATTGCTGTTATTGCTGTTGCTGTTGCTGTTGCTGTTGCTGTTGCTGTTGCTCTTGCTCTTGCTCTTGCTCTTGCTGTTGCTGTTGCTGTTGCTGTTGCTGTTGCTGTTGCTGTTGCTGTTGCTGTTGTTGTTGTTGTTGTTGTTGAACTCGCAGATCCGAATAATAATTTCGTTGATCCCCCCCGTCCGGTGCACGTTGTTTTCTTTTCGATTGAAGTGCCCTTCCCTGGGCTCGCACCCTGTTTTTTGTCTGGGAAGGTCTTGAAGGTCAAACTGCGTTGTTGGCCCCCGGTTTACAATAACAGCGGCTCCCGCCTGATACTTCCTTACAATTTATTGAGGAATCGCGCTCTCGCTTCGGACTTCCTTGCAATTTGCAACCGGATCGCGGCTCCCGCTTGATACTTGCTTACAATTTCTTGAAGAATCGCGCTCTCGCTTGGGACTTCCTCGCAACTTACCACCGAATCGCGGCTCCCGCCTGATACTTCCTCACAATTTATTCAGATGCCGCTCGACACTCAGGAATCGCGCTCCCGCTACAAATTGCCTGGCGGTTCAAGCAGGGGCTCCCTCCTCTCGTCGCGGTCGTCGTCGTCGTGGTGAGCCCGCTGTCTGTCCATCTTGGGGTCGGGTTGCCGCGGGTCGGTGTGTGCATCGCCAGCGTTGCCACTGGCCAGGCCGACGGTCCGCCGCTTGCCGGGGCCCGGTTCGCCGTCCTTTGAGACGCGCGTGTTCCACTGGCCCAGGTTCTTCTGCAGGCTTCGAATGAAGGCCTCCCTCGACGAGACCCCCGGGGCGTTCCCGCAGGTTTTCGGAGCCTCTGGAACTGCTCGGTGGTCGTCGGGGCCATTCCGAAGCCCCCCAAAAGTCATAGGAAGCTTTCGGGTACCTTCCAATCCCCCGGCGCCTTGTTTCCACCCCAGTCTCCGCTCGTATCCACCTGCCCCCACTTTTCAACGTTCTTTTCCAGTCGTCTCTACTCTTTCCCTTTATCTTCATTTTCATGTCGTTCGTACTCCATTGTGCTATTCCTCAGTTCTTCGCATTCCGCCCACTCCTCCCCGGGCCACCCCATCCCACCCCAGCAAGCTCCACCGCTTCCCGCTTGCATTCCGCATTTCTCCCAAATTATTCCCAGTCCCTCCTCCAGATTCCTCCGTGCGCCCCCCGCTCCTCCGCACTCCTCCCTGTTCCTCTTCTCCACTCCTTGCCGCTCCTCCTCCTGAGACCCTACTCTTGTCCACTCCATCCCATTCCACGCCACATCCCCGCGCTCCTCTCGACACGGCTGCAGATCTCACTATCCTTCCGCACCACTATCCTAACATCCAGCTTTTTTCCAAGGTTCCACGAAATTTGTTTCTGCATTTCGGCATACTCCTGACACGTTTCGTGGCCCCATAAGAAGCTCCACCGAAGGCCTCAGTGGCAGGGCCAGCATGCCTCCCAACCACTCACGTCGGACTCCCCTCGCACGTTTCGTTGCTCCATAGGGAGCTCCACCGAAGGTCACAGTTTAAGGGCCCTACCAATTTCGGCACACACCCCTCAAACATTTCGAGGCCCCACGGGGAGCTCCGCCGAAGGCCCCAGTGGCAGGGCCCGCATGCGTCCCCACCGCCCATTTCGGCACACGCCTCACACGCTTCGTGGTCCCATAAGGAGCTCCACCGAAAACAGTATCTGCAATTTGCGGCTCTCACAACTGCACACGGTTGGGTCCTTCGCCAGGCTACTTTGTTACGGCATGACCATGTCGGGGGGAGGAAGGGGGCCCGGAGGAACTCGGAACTCGGAAATCCGCGGAAAGATGCCAGACGGCATCGTTGCCCTGCGTGTGCACTATTCTGAAGACGCTTTGCAGACCGAAGCCGCCCACGTGGAGTGGGTTGTGTGTGGGAGCAAGCAAAGACAAGCTGTGGGCATAAGAAGCCAGTAGCGAGGACACTTGACATCCTCGCCTTGATTGCACCCGCGACAGGTTTTAGCAAATCGCCCCCCCCCCCCCCCCCCCCCCCCTCCCCTCCCCCCGGGGGGAGGAAAGGGACAAATCGGACTCGCGTGTCCTTCTCCTCGCTCGCCCGCCCCCCCCCCCCCTCCCCCCCCCCTGCCCCCCGCCGGGCGCGACGGGGCGGGCGCGACTCCTGGGTGGGGCACGAAGCTGTCCACCGGGGGGCCCTGCCCCACGTCCTGGGCTCTGCTCAGACGAGCGGCACGGGGGAGACAGCGTGCAGCATCGATCTCCGAAAGCCCTGAGATCCTGGCGTCTCAACTTCTCGAGCCAGGCATTTTTGCGTAGTTTCGGGCCCCAGGGCCCTCACGTATCGATCAGCCTCGACAGAATGGTGCCGAAAGATGGGTTCCTGGGCTCTGGTCGTGCTTTTTGAATGTTGTAACTCTTTCGAAACGTAGGATCTCAGGGAAGCACGCTATCCCTCTGAGGCACTCCCCCCGCGAGGGTCCCTTCTGTGCTATCCCCCTGCCAGGGCTTCGTCGGAGCACGCCGTCCCCAAGGTGGGGGATAGCGTAAGCGGGCCAGCGACGTCACATCACGCGATATCTTTCCAACGCCAGCCGTATCGCGGTCTGGGGGGGGGCGGGAGTGCGAGGAGCGAGGGGAGGGGGTGTTCGACTCGAGCAAGCCGATCGCGGTTCAAGCGTCAGCCGCGAGGACGGTGTGAGCCCAGGGCTCGCCTGCAGGACGTGACCTGCGAAAACGAGGCCAGCGCTCTCCCTTCCTCTTTCCCCTCGCTACTGGATGAGGGAGATGGAGAGGGGAGGGACGCTGGAGAAGGGGGGGGGAAAGAGAAGCACGGGAGGGAAGGGACGGCGATGCACACCTGTGGGGGACGGGAAGGAGGAGGGAAGCGGGGGAGAATGGGGAAAGCAGGGTCGGGAGGGGATGGGGGGGGGAAGAGGGGGACGGGGCCGGATTGGAGGGACAAGGGAAGGGAGAAAGGGCAGGGGGGACAGAAATGTGAAGGAGGCGGGGGAACGAGAGATGGGAAAGACAAGGCAGGGATGGGAGCCTCCGCGGAGGGGGGGAAATGAGGGGGAGGGAAAGACGGGGAAGCAGGACCTGCCATCTGAGGCATCTGCCTCCGCGATTCGTCCAAGTAAACCTGGTGGCGGTGGACAGGCAGACCGATCCGTCGCCACCGTCGCCTCCGGCAGCCTGCGGAGGAGGGCTGGACGCATCCTCCGTCAGCAGCCAGACAGAAGAGGAGGGCAAGGGCAGCATCGGCTACACGCAAGAGTGGCCCTGGGCAAGAGTGACCTTTGGTGCGCGTGTGAAGGGGGCGCAGGGTGGCCAAGCCCAAGCGCGCACACAACCACTATCGCATCGCGCTCAGCGATCGCGGGGGCCCCGGCGGGCCCGCGCCAAAGGCCACTCCGGCGAAGGGCCACTCTCTCTTACGCGCAGCCGAAGAGAAGAGGAAGAGGAGGGAGGGGAAGGCCGGAGGGGGGTCTCGCGGGAGGGAGGCCCACGAGGGGCCGTCTTGTCCACCGCCACTGCCTACCATAGGTAGGAGGAGGAGGAGAAGGAGGAGGACGAGGAGGACAAGGAGGAGGAGGAGGAGGAGGAGGAGGAGGAGGAGGAGGAGGAGGATTGTCCAGGCTGTCTCTTACGACACGATTAACGTATTACCATGCTCGTGCCCTACGAGTCTGTATGATCCAAATGAGTCTGGGTCACTGCCCCCCTTCATGACGCTTCATGCCCTAGTAACCTCCCATGAGATCGCCCCCTCGTGCAATGCATCGCGAATCCGCTGCTGAGGCCTCCCACCCCACTGCTGTGAAGTGTGCGACCAGAACAAGGCTGGGAGAAGGAGGAGGAGGAGGAGGAGGAGAAGGATGAGAAGAAGGAGGAAGAAGAGGAGGAGGAGGATGAGGAGGGAGAGGATGGTGATGTTGATGCTGCTGATGATGATTGGTGATGCTGATGATGATGATGATGATGATGATGATGATGATGATGATGATGATGATGATGGTGTTGTTGATGTTGATGCTGCTGATGATGATGATGATGATGATGATGATGATGATGAGGAAGATGATAAGTGGAGGATGAGTTGAGGGAGGAGGCCGAATAGGAGGAGGAAGAGAAGGATGAGGATGATGAGGATGATGAGGATACTGATGGTGGTGATGCTGTTGCTGCAGATGATGATGATTATGATGCTGATGATGATGTTGATGATG